GTATTTCCCGACTGCAGCTGTCTCTGCGGCAATTGCCGGTTCTTTTCTTCACTTTCTGCTGTCAGTGGAAGATGGGTCTTTTGGTCCCTGCCTCAAATGACATAGTGGCACAGTTTTCCCTCTGTTGCCGCTTGGCCGTTGTCTGTGACCAGAGAGCCCTTTCATATGCCCCCCAGTCATATTGAGCCGATTTACTATTGAAAATAAAATTTTATTAGAATTTTCCTCACTTTTTTCTGTGTGAATGTCTCTCCTACGGTTTCTTCGATTCTCCGGGGGTTTCCTCTTCATTGGAGACTCTCTGCACGAGGTTTTCCCGCTTTTGAATGTGCAACGCTCTGACGACTTTTGAATTTGATGTGCGCAACTTTTTACTACAAAAAGGGGGGAGGGAGGTTCAAGGGGAAAGACAAATTTGATTTAAAATACAAAAAATTGGGGAAATTCCAGCAGCTGTTGCTGGTAATTTGAATAGAATTTTTATTGCTTATTGGTTTTAGGAATTGCATATGGTAAGGGCCAGGCTGTGATTATGATTGACGGATGCAAAAACCGGAAAATCATAAATTCATAAGTAAAATGCATTGGGTGCTTTGATTTTGGCCAGACACCATTCCTTATTTATTATGACCCTTCTTTCGACACTTTCGTGGGCATTTACATGAGCCCTGCCCCGTCCACACCCATGTTTGCCGGCTAGGCCCCAATAATCGGTCGTACGTGCGTCCCATTCTAAACAAACAGTCGGAGTATTATTATTGGCCTCCCGGGCAGCCAGCGAATTGCGCCCCTTATAAACACACACAGATAAGGCCAAGGCAATAGAAACCATTAATGATTCTCAATCAATGGGAAAGAAGACAGCTTTTAATTTGATTTAAATAGTTGAAGATTATTCGGTAATAAGAGCAATCCATATTTTATATAACCATAAAATAATGAAATCTCACTTTTTCTTCTCTATAAATTCCTCCTCCGTTGTGCCTTTCTAGAGGGGGGGGGAAACTCCATTAGGAATCTGTACTGGTAGGTGCCCAGAACAAGGCCAAAAGGGGTTGCCTCTGACATTGCCCACGCGGTCCATGTTGCACGTGACGGCGGCTTTCCGTCTGTGAACTGCATAAACGTTGCCTCATTATGTCAGGGAGCCAATTGTGAAAAGACCAAGTAACAGGAAAGACACGCAACCAGAATCGCCAGGAATTCATATGATAATGCTTCAAAATCGGTTGGATTGTTCAATTTGTATATGGCTGTTTGTTTTTCTTTTTTTTGGCGCCTAATGATGCCATTAAGTGGCCAGGGCAGATTGCCGCGAACAAGCTGTTTGAAGAAGGAAGTCTGTCGGCCAAAAATGATGTAAGTGCACATATGCAGACAGCACTTGATCTGGTGCGAGGTGGAAATGTTAAACGTTTGGAATTATCGCAGTTTTATTCAGGCTGCGTTTTTTATACGTGACGCAATCGTATACTTATTCTGCATGTTTCGGGTTCTTTTTTTAAAGAAATCAACAAACCAAACAGAACAATGTGCTTTGGCAGATTTAGAGGAAGTATATTTGTTACTTAAATTTTAAAGAAATTGTAAATAAAAAAGGAATAAGTCATATCTGGTACATTTTTCCATTACTTTACTTTTTATTACTTAATTTTTAAGCCATCAACATAATTTTTCTATTCACATTTAATGAGCCGAAAGCTTTTAAGCTGTTTTATAGTTTTTTGCCAACTTATAGCTCATCATATTTTATGTCTTTTCCTATTAAAAAAAGTCTACTATATCGACATATTAAGATATAGATCAGCGGTCTGTTGCAAAAGTAAATGTTCTGCAATTTCATTCCTCAATTGCTTGGAAAATGATTTCGAAGATCATTCGATTGCCGAAATGTTTTGAGGGAGCTGTCATTTGACTAATTGAGACATGACTACACTTTTACTTAATGCTCACAATTGAAAGTAATTTGCATTTGATATAAAGTGTGAAAGTGTTGTCCTCAAACATCTTTTTCTTGCTCCCTAAGTCTCGCTTGATAAATATTAATTGGCCAGCGACAGTTCGGGGTCAGCGACACAGTTTCCGAATGTAAATTCTATCTGGGTAACTCTGGCGCCCATTAATTGTGTTATATTTTTGTGTTATTTGTATATTTGCTATGCATAGACATATGGCATATGGACTTATGCCTAAAAGTTTCTTGGGAACTCGACATAGAATGGGTTTATCAGCTGCCCTTGGACACGGCCAATTACGCAACATGTAGAAGCTGGGATCGGAATATGATTTATTGGCTAAGCGATTACAGACTCAGTGCTGAGCAGTTGACAAAATGTGTGTATTTATGGGATAATGATTCACATTGATCTCTGACATACCAGCTGACACAGTGCCCCTCATAAACAAAGTCATTTTAATCTTCGGTTCTTTCGGAGATCTAGGTGTGTCCCTTAATTTGTAGGCAAACAGATACACAGGGAAATGTTTTTTGAACTTCTATTGTTGGATTTTTGTTTTAGAAGGGCTTAGAGTCTTAAATAATACTGATTTGATGGAAAATACAACAATATGTGTTATGAAAAATGTCAAATTATTTTGTTTAAGTTAACAAACTTTAACAATTCATAAACTTACAATGATTGATAGGTTTTTGTAATATTTTACTGATAGTTTTCAACTACATATTCAAAAGGCTTTAAATTGTTAAAGAACTTTAATAATATATTTTTTTGAGTGCACCCATCTGCCATTCCTAATTACCATTATAGTTTGTAATCTTGCCCAGAAGATCTCCCTTCTGCGATCCCCACGAATGAATCATAGTTTGGTTCCGTTGAAGTCTTCAATTTTTCGTTTGCCAAATGAATGAAGACCGACCGCAAAGTTGTGTGGCTTCCAGATGAACTATCTTTTGGGTGTGTGCGATGGCATGGAAATCGGAATCGGGAATGGAAATGCTGAAATGCTGAAATGTGGAGTGGGAGAGGGGACAAGGGCTTTGCGGTTTGTTGGGAGGTAATTACAAAATATTGCCAACCAGCCTAGTGGGCCAAAACCGAGGGATGCCCGTGTGCATATAATTTGAGTATTGAGTCAAGTGTGCGGCTCGTGTTGCCAATACTGGGTGCCCATAATTGCGGGCGGCGGATAAAGTGTCTGCGGTTGGTTTATTTCCACGCACAAGTGTCCATTGGAGGGGAAATGTTTGTGGATGCAACTCGAACTGGCCACATTTGTGCATTGATTACCGTATGAAACGGAAGTGCCGCTTTAATCTTAATTTTACAGTTTCAAATGGATGATAGCTTATGATTTTATTGCTTTTTTTTATTGCAGAATTCCGACTTTGAGCAAGATGCGTGTGGCAATGTTTATTTTGGGACTAATTTGGAGTTTTCTGGTGCCAGCCTTCGGTTCTTTTGAACTGATAGGGCAGTCTATCAAGGGTAAGATTCTGTTTACATATATTTTTGCTTAAAATTATTATTTTATTAATATTATAACATAAAAGAGTGTTAAATCAATTTAAATGAAATTTTGTTGCTAAAAATACTAATTCATTGCATACCCATAGGCTGTAAAAGATTTCCTTGCTACTATTAATAGTACAGCATACTTTTAGTGAACCCCTTATTAAACCCCTATGCCTCTCAAACTGCAATTAAGAGCGATTGCCCTTCTGTTTTGCAATTAGTTCGACTTTAACACCTTTTTTGGACATTTTCAGACGCCCTGGCCGAATACACGCTGACGGACATCATGAACAACAACCAATTTACGGGCATCGAGTTCGGTGAGGCTGAGGATGGATTTCCCGCATTCCGTTTCCTGCAAACGGCGGACGTAAAGTCACCATACCGCATGCTATTGCCAGAGAAGCTGTACGAGTTCGCCATCCTCATCACTTACCGGCAGAGCTCGCTGAAGGGCGGCTATCTGTTCAGCGTTGTGAATCCCCTGGACACGGTCGTCCAGCTGGGCGTTCATCTATCGCCCGTCGTGAAGAACAGCTACAACGTATCGCTGGTCTACACGCAGGCGGACCAGAACATTGGCCGCAAGTTGGCCAGCTTCAGTGTGGCTCATGTGCCGGATAAGTGGAACTCGATTGCCCTCCAGGTGCTCAGCGATAAGGTGTCCTTCTACTATGATTGCGAACTGCGCAATACCACATTGGTCAACAGGGAACCCATTGAATTGGTCTTCGATTCAGCATCTACGCTGTACATTGGCCAGGCTGGCTCTATTATTGGTGGTAAATTCGAGGTAAGTTCTGGCGGCGGCCAGTTTGATTAACTTTGATCTATGATCCATGGCTGGGGAATAGTTTTCGAAACGCAAGCGAGCACTTACAAGTTGCCTAAGATTTGAGAGTGAAGTGGCATTTTATTACCTCCGGAAGGGGTAAAATTTAGAAATCTTAAAACCATTAAGTGGATTTTTAATTTGTGGTCAGAAAAGTACTGATTTATTCTGGGAAATTGATGTTTTGCGGGGACCGAAACATGACCTGCTTGGTAGAGTTGGTCTGCTTTTCAGTTTGATGTGAGGTAAACTTCTTGATTTGCTGGTTTTACCAACCAGAAATAAGTTTAACCCATTTTCTTTCTGTGCAATTTCATTCAGCAACTGCTGAAAGCTTTTCACCACATTGGTCTTGGGCCACCCTTAAGTGGCGCCACTTGGCCATCTGGCGGTAGAAGTTGGCAGCCACTCAAAGGCACTCAAAACCACCCTCAGTAGTTCCAACTCAATGGTTTCCACTCTTGAGTTGAGTTCATAACCCAGAACTCTTTTTATAGCGTATACGCCATGTGGGCTTGAGTCATACTCTTAACATTGCGTATACCCCCCGTTGGCCGGAGATTCACTCGATTCTCACGAAGTGAGGAATTCAGCGCTCAGCTTGAAATTCAGCAAACGAGTGAACGAGCGGCTGGCACGAGACCCAATGTGTTGTCTGTGGCCCGAACAGATTGCTGTGATTTGATGGGCCTCCTTGGGCAGCGAGTGCGTTTACCTTTTCAGTTGCGTTCGCGTTTTCCAGCAGTTCAGATGGCCACGCGGCCGGTTTTAAGATGAGCCTATCGTTGCTGCCGTGCGGTCGGTACTCGTCCTCGTCCACATCCACATCCATAGCCACGTCCTCGTCGTCTTCGTCTGCATCTTCGTCCTGCTCGTCATCGTCCAGTTTTTCGGACGTCGTGTGTGCGGTGGCAGCTGGTAGTACTATATTTACTCCTTCTCCCTACTACTGCTACTACTACAAAAACAACAACAACAACAACATCTATAGCCCCAAAAACAACTGCAAATGAAGCCCTTGTGCTGGCTAAGCCGCAAAAAATGAAAGTGATTTATATGGCCAAATGAAATATGCTCGCCTAAGTGAACCGACCAGCCCGGAATCGAGTCAATTAAAATTCAATTATGCGACCAAAAATGAAGGAGAGGCCGCGCAAGCGTTTGAAAATTCGACCGCTGAACAACTCCTGACTGAAACGGAAGTTTAAACTGCCATAGAAAAGTGTTCCCAAAACATAATCCTAGCAATCGATCATATCGCCGGAGAAGCCAAGTACATATCGTGTGCCAGACTTATCAACTGCAAGGATATATCGCGCTATATATATATCAAAACTGCAATTACTATCATATCCTTGTTATGTTTGTCGTTCGCGTTGCGACTCCCGGTTGTAAGAGTTCAATAAGTGGTGGCTAAAATACGAAACTAAATCCAAACACTGTCCATGACCCCCCACCAACCAACAAAACCAACAAACGAATGAAAAAAGAAAACCCACTCAGCGAGCTTGTTCGAATGGAAATCAATCAATTGCACAATGCCAGAGTGCAGGCGGTGTGAAAAAGTGAATTAATTGCACAGCAGGACGTCAAAGCTAAGAAACATACCGAACAGCAGTTTAACAATAAAAAAAAAAACGGAATAAAAGTTTAAAAACGACATAACACGACTGTCATTTGTAATTACAAATGAGCCTGAAAAAGCGGCATACATAATTCACAATTACAATAAATTTTAAAGCAAAACTCATACCTATAAAGCAAAGTATTTGCAATTAAATTATCTGTGATTTTTGTCAACATATTAAATATTTTGCGTGCGCGTGGTCAAACCAATCCTCCCCCCGCCCCATCAAAACCCTTAGCCAATTATTTAAAGTGAATATAAAGTGAATGGAAGTTGCAGTGTGTTTGGCTTAAAGGTAAATATGGCCAGCTGGTCAGCTTACTAGGGCTACGTACCCCTTCGCATAAATGGTTTTGGAATGTCGCCCATCAAATTGAACACGGTTCGCGCATAAATTATGACGTGCTAGGGCGGCTGTTTGGGTTTTTGGATATCCACAGTCCTGGCACTCAAATAGGCAGGATATAAGGCCGCTGTGGATTGGCTGTGTGTGCTTTCTAGTCGTCGTTGGCAGGCCTAAATCAATGGCAAACTCATTAAAGAGCCAGCGAAAACAGTTTTTGCCCCGACGCCTCACTAAGCATTGCCAGTCAGAGTTGGCCTTTTCCGCATCCCGCATTTCCCGCCCAGCTTTTATTCCCAACCACCCCACCCATTGCTCCTGCATATGCATATTAAAGCAGCACTGGGCGTATGCGTAATATATATATATACGATGTATATTATATTGTGGGCCGCCTTTTGTCTTTGCCTTCTGCGTTTCGCGTTCTTCGCATATGGCCGAAAGGCAAAGGAAAATACGTTTTATTTATTAAATAAAGAACAAGTCGGGCAGGCGAAGGCTTGGAGTTTAATGTGCGTTTCGGGTGGATCAAACAAAATGTTTCTCTCCATAAAGAGCGAAAGTTAAACCCTTGAAAAGACTAGACAAGGCTGGGAAAATATATATCCATATATCTCTGGCCGTTTTTCAAACAGGCTTAAACTTTAAAGTCCTTGGCCATTTGGACTGCATTTAATTGCAGAAGGGACAAGAGGCACAGGAAAATTTCAATTACAAAACAAACTTTGCTCTGCAGTTCTTGGCCTAAGTGATCATAAATATTCATGTAGCTATGCTTGTGTGTGTGATTGAGTGTGTGTGTGTGTTTCAGTGTGTGTGTGTTTACAGCTAATATGCATTTAAATATCACAGGATGATTGTTTTGCTGTTGTTTGGCAACATTGCATTGACTTGCATCAGCCGAGTGCAGCCTAGCTTTCAGGAATATGTAATTTTGATTTGTAAATTTAACAATTTATCATCATAATGCAATATTAGTGCCCATTATGCTGACACAATTTTGAAATTGAATTTGAAAGATTTATTTACACATTTGGTTACATCCACTCACCCACTGACACGGCCACTGCCACACTCTCGATTGTGTGTTGCAAATTAGTTTTCTACTAAACACTCCTGGTCCTGCTCCTCCCACACTTACTATATATATATATAGTATATGTTATATATATGAAATCGACCAGTTTGTATTGTTTTGTTAGCTCATAGCTGACCAATATGCTTCATGTTGAAAAACACACAAAGGCCCTTGGTTTTAAAAATAATTGATTTGCTTTTTCTATGGGAAATCTGTTTATTTGTTTCCCTGCTTGGATATAAGTTAGTAAAGTGAGATTTTCAATTCAGATTCTTGGATTTAAAAAGGTTATTAACCGGCAGATGCGCTTACTAGTTCATAGCTTGTTGACTTGCCATAGAATATACCTTATTTGAATCTTTTTTGGGGGGTTACAAGCATTTATTTTCAATTTTAGAGAAGCCTAAAGAAAAGTAATTACTAATTTCCTTTGCCAGCATGAACTATTTTCCAATAAATATTCTTAAAAAGTTTAATAAACTTTGCTTTATTAGCTTTTTCCCAATTAAGGCTTACGATTTACCTCTAAAAAAAGCAATAATCAACTTTGAAACTGATGATAAATGGAAAGATTCAATACAAAGGCCTGGATGATTTGATTTTTCGAACATTATTTGTCAATGGATCTGCTTTCCAGTACTCATTTACCGAATTTATTTCTGCTTGACGAAAGGCCATGAGTATTTTTACCCCAGGGCCAGAGCAGATGTATATACCTTTTGTATTTATGCCCATAAATGGGTTTTTTATTACGTCTAGAGCTGCAGGTCGTTAAAGTCGTACTTATACGGTGCCCATTTTATGAACCCGATGGTTCTGCTGCTGCTGATTTCTGTTAACCAACACACACACACAGACATAAAAAACCTCTTACCAAAAAATGCGAACCAAACGGAAATGATTTCGATGACACAAGGGTAAGGAGAGGAAAACGACAAAACTATGATTATTTTGTAACTTTATAGCTACCCCAAGGCAGAGGCAGTGGCAGAGGGCGTTGGGCGGATATCTATACCAACCAATGGGGCGTCACCAATAAACATAAATTATGCAAATTTTTGACTTTAATTATACTGAGCTGATAGCACCGCCTCCCCCTATATTTGAGTTGTTATTAATTAGGCAGAGGCTTCATGAGCGCGTTTTAATCATTGGGAACACGCGTCAACGTTCCCAGCAGATATATATATATATATATGAAGGATATCTTGGATTTTATACGAGTGTATATATGGCTATATGGAGGAGCTGTCAGGCCGGTTCTGCTTATCGATCAAACGCTCACAGAAAGTCACAGAAGACAGAAGCCTGAGGTTAGACATTAGACATTTCTTGCACTGACGGTTTGTTTTGTTCCGCCTTCATATTAAGGATACATGTGTGACACATTCCTCACTCCCCACTCCCCACACTCCCCTTACCTCACACTCCATTCCCTTTTCTTTTTCCCGACCTTGTCACAGATAAATGCAGACAAAGGCGGCACAGAGACCCACAGAAAAAGGGAAATTTGTGCGGAAAACGGTGCTTATTAAAAATTACATGTCAAACGGAAAAGCAGCAAAGGAAACCCAAAACTCAAACACACACACGCAAACCTCTATGAGATGACTTGGCACAAAAGCTTTTAGATTTTGAAAGTGGAGAGGAAAACCCTTTTTAAATATGTCGCCCCATTATCTTCATTAGGCGCTAATGTCCAAGAAAAAGGTTCCGCCAGCCCAACTATCGCCCTTTGTAACTTTCTTTTTTTCGTCCTTATTTAACTTGAACTTTCTGGCTACCATGACAACTTCAAAAGTCGTTACTCATTTTTGTGTACTTAATTTGGTAAAAGATATGAAATTTCCTTCTTATCGCCCTGCCATGTTTTCATTTTTTCCTGTAAGAAAGGCTTTCCCCTTTTCATTAAAAGTCGGTCTGAAGGACTAGGGCGGTAGGTAATTTCATTAGAAAACTTGAACCGCGTCAAACTTTAAGCTTAAACTCGGCTCGTGTGCCGTGCAGTTGGAGAATTTTAATGCTGCGTGAAGAATGCCAAGTTGCCAGGCTGGTTGGCTGTTTGGCTGGAGGATCCAGTGCTGAGGTGTGGGCCAGTCGCTTGACTTGGCATAAAAAAGTTTCTTTTTTGGGCTTCCACTTTTTGGGCGCGCACAAAACTTTGTGTTACGCCGCCGACTCGTTGACTCAATAACTGGTTGGCTTTAGCTCTTCCCCCTCTAAAAAAAAAAAAAAAAAGAAAGAAAGAAGAAGGCCCAAAAGATGGGCGATGGCTGGGCGTGTCAGACTTGGAGGGGGCGTGGCCGGGTGTTAAAGACTTAAGGTGCTAGCCATGGACGCTGCTGGTGGCTTTAGACTGACACGATTATCGTAATTATGCGTTGGCTGTAGCATACTTTTGTGAGCCAACTCTTAGCTCTTGTTTCTGTGTTAGTGTATCCCTTGCATCTGTATGTAAGGAGGGTATATATATGTGTGTGTGTGTTGGCACAACTTTTGCCGCAATTATGTAGGTTGGCAAAGTTGCTGCTGCTCGCTTTTTATTTTATTTTTATTTTACTTTCAGTTTTTTTTTCGGGGGGTGCACTGGCTCAAGGACACCCTCATAACCCGCTGCTAAACATTCGGCTTATGCCTTTATGCGGTTGCCAAAAAAAATAATAATAACAACAACAATAACAGCAGCAACAGAACAAGTACAAAATATATACGAAAAGTCGCAGCAAGACATCTTGCGAACATGTGACCAATTTCCAGCGTTGCCTTTGACGTTGCTATAATTCAATATTTTTTCAAAATAAACTTCTTGGCAGCTTAACTTTTCCAAAAGTTTACTTCAGGTGCTACCTCTGACTTTTGGGATTTCCAATGTTGTAACCTGATGATAAATTGGGTGGATAAGAAAGGAAAATTCCGCAATTAACTTTTGATGAGAAGATTGAATGAGTTTTCCTTCAAAGATAAAATCTGACTTTATGATTTCTTCTTTAGGTTTAAGCATGTTTCACCCTTAAAAATCTCATTTTTAAAGGATATCAACTAGCCCTTTCCTTACTTTCAGTCATATTTTTCAGCCGCCACCCTTGGGGCCGCAAATCAGTGAGAAAATGCTGACAGGCGACGGGTGGAAAGGCACGAAAAAAATATACGGGAAGCAGAATTAAATAAAACGTATTACATTTGTAGCGTTTACAGGAAGTTGTAGCATGAGGTTAGAGGGAGAGGTCGTCGGTCCTTGGTCCTTGGTCGAGTGCCTGTTAAGGGGAGTGTGTGCGTGTGAGCTCCTTGTCATCCCATACATACATGTGCAAGTGCTTGTGGCATGTGTACAAAAACGCTTTGTGGCCGGGAAGGCACCTACCCACCTTCCTTCCTTCCTTCTTGCCAACAAAACAAGGTTAAGGGGAGTTCGCAAGGTTAAGACTTGGCCACAAAAGCCATTAGGCATCAGCATCAGTGCCAGCAATATCCCTAAGCCTAAGTCCAAGCGGGTCAAATACACTTGCCGACATCTCAATAACCAGAGATGGCAAGTTAGAAATAGTAACTAGATGTGGGGAATGGAACTGATTTTAAGGGGGTTTTAGTTTGGCTTTAACACTACGCTAAATACACAATCAAAAACCAAAGTTCTTGAAGAAGAATTTGAAGAGAATTTTCTTGTAAGCCTAGAAATTAAAGTGTTCTTGCCCAAGGCTAATCCTCCCATCACTATCTAACAATGAAATTGAACCCAAATCGAACCAGAAGCGAAAACCAAACCATTTGTGCGTCCGTGGCAAAGCAATATTCCCACCCTCAGCTAATTAATATTCCAATTTATGCATTTTCTTTCAGGCAATTCGATTCGTCGCCGGTTGTTCGTTGTTCGTTGGTTCGTTGGTTCGTTGGTTCGTTGTTCGTTGTCCGTTGTCGGTTGTTCATTTGATTTGCGTTGATTTCGTAGTGCTTTAAGTGTTATATATATCGAACGAAACGGAAACGGTGTCGATACGGGACGTGTAAATATATATAACGTACAAAATGGCAATGGTTATATCGACGCGTGCCAAGCTCGTGATTGCCGCGCTGATACTGTTCTTCCTGCTGGGCATCGTCCTCGTAACGGGCTCCACAAAGGGATGGTTCTATCCCAACCGCTACAACGGCGAAAGGGTGGCAGCTAGGATTCAGGTAAAGCTAAACACAAGCCCCATTTAACCAACCTCTATGACCGCAACAAGTTTTTCGGGTTTTGCGTTTAAACCGAATGCCATTTCAGACTAATTAAAAAGAACTAGCCAATTAATTATAATCATAATCAACACGTGTCTGGCTCACAGTTTGCCCACAATTTTTTCTGCCCTCTTTCTTTGTTTTTTTTTTTTTGTATTTTTCACAACCACTTTACGAGGCTCGCCAAGCATCTAAACATTACGACGAACTGTGTAATGTGTAATGGTAAATGCTAAATGCTAAATGCTTGACATCCTGGCCCTTTAAATGCAAACAAATGTCACCGCTGTGAGCTCCTGGCCGGGGTTTGCTACTAATACTACGACTCCGTGTAGTGACCAGGATGAGGTTGTGTTGTTGGTTGGGGGAGTGTGCGCCTATAGCGCGGCTTATGCCCGTCCAACACGCACACAGCAAACACATACACACACCGGCAACTAACAGCCAGCACCCACAACAAGTTAGGGAAACTTTTAAACAGACACACACACACTGGCAAACATCGCCGCAGTCACAGCGAGAGGAGAGCAAATAAAGCATGCTAGCAAGTACACGGAAAATAAAGATTAGAATTTGTTTAAAAGGGAAATTGATAGATTCTATTACTATCTAGTTCTTAGTTGAAAATAAATATGGTTTTGAGTTTTAACCTTATTTATATCTTATAGCTAAAAGGGAAAACTATTTTCCACCTTAAGTTGGACAAAGGAAAACACATAACAAGTCTCAATACTATTATTTCCTGTGCACGTATACAGGCAGTACACGAAAACAAATAAAGTTTATTGTGACAAATGTTTCATGACAACAGCACATTTCGCTCTGGTCTAGCACACCTGCCTCCCGTTACCACTTTCTCCCGCAGGTGAAAGGCTACTGTTGTTGTTGTTCTTCTTCTTCTTTCAAAGCGTACAAATAAAAAGCCATTGCAATTATTAGAGCACATTATAAGCATTTTGTTGCCGACGCTCGGTCACAAGATAAATTGATAAACCTGACATGGGTCTGCTCACCTGTCCACTGCTCCTTGTGTCGCGGTGTAAGGACGAGCTGGGGTTAAGTTTTGTCAGTTTTATTGTTGTCACCACGGCGTATACGCAATGGAAGTTTTTCCTTTTCAACCGGCTTGACGGCATCCATTTCGCGAATGGTTTGCTTGCGGTTTAAAATGCTTAATGATATTCTAGGAAAGTGTTTTTCCACTGCCCTTTAATGGATTTTGGTTGTTTTACCCAAAAGATTTAACCAAGTCTTTGGCAGGCCATCATTTCCCCTTTTTGTGGCCTTGGAAATGTGTTAGTCGCAGCTTTTCAGGAATATATATATGTTTATTTAGTATATAAATTAAATTGATGAAACTTGGCTAACTGGTTTACCACAAAATATTATCACACAGCATGATAATCTAATGGCAGCCACAGAGAAAATAATTTAATAGTGTTCTGAAAATAGCAAAGCATTGCATATTATGGCTAGAAAACACACTTAAGCTTAATGAAGTTTGATGAATGTTTGACTTTGATACGTTTGGCTTATGTTTTATACTAAGCAGTTTCTTGAACTTGTCGAAAAGGCAGCTTCAGTCAGATATATTGGTTTAATTTTGTATAAAATGTAAAGGCTTACAGGTTGTTTCAGTTTTCTTTACTTTAAAACCTTTTTAAACTATTTATTTCCCATTAGCTGTTCATCAGAATTTAAATAAATGACATATCCTTAAAGAAAGAACCAGAAAAGAGCAAGGGATTGCCATTCCCCTGTTAATATAACCTCTTCTTCCTGTCAAACCTTCTTTTACCATTGTTTCCACTTCAAAGGACCTGCCCCAAAAGGAGCAGCCAATACACAGCCACAATACCAGCAAAACTTCGACTAATACCTGCATAATTGTTGTGCTAATTTTGTCAGCACGCCCAGTTAATGTTTCTATTGACACCCGCAGTATGGGCGGGGCCAGTCTGGGCGATGTCCTTCCCTATAGTTGCACTGCTTTGACATTATTTACGCTTACTTATGGGTTTGGCTGGCACTCACCTGCCTTTTTCACCCCCCACCTGCCGCCCTCCCCCCCTTTTCAACTCTGAAAACAGTGATTAAACTAATTTTATGCAGCAGCGAAACAGGACGAGGGCGAAAACAAGGATACAGGGAGCAAGGAGTCGGGGAGTTGCGGAAAGCAGCGAGCAAATGGCGAAGGGGCGAGGCAATAAAAAACCATTTAAAACATTCAAAGTGTCGCATGAGAACGGGCGAAGTGAATGTCGACAAGCGTTAACGGGCTGCCTTCGATATGGAAAATGAGTGGCTGATTCTATTTTCTCTTTTATTTTTAGATACATATTAGGGAAAATAGGGAAACTTAAATGAAAAGTGGGAAAAATCTATGTTATTTTGTATTTGGAAATAATAATGCTTAAAAATACATTCTTTTTGTTAACGTTTCAATGTTAAACTTTTCTTTTTTAGGTATTATTTAAGCATTATAACTAAGACAACTTTCTCGCAGTGCATTTACCAAATAAACGTGATGAACGCGAAAAGGAAAACAAACCCAAGAACCAAAGAAACAAAGTTTAGCAATAAAAATCTAAAAACGGGAGCGTGAGAGTTGCGGCGAAGCCAGGCTGTTAATAAAGCCATTTCGGCATGGGCTGTCTCACCTGGCACCTCCCAACCACCAACCATCCTGCCACCAAACCACCCACTACCACGAACCCATCCCAACCCACTCTAACAACCAAGCGATGGGTTCATTAGCAGTAGCTTACATTACACAAGCTTGCCGTGGCTGTTGTCGCTATTTTCCCAGTTTCCTTGGCGCTGTTAATTACGACCCCAAGCTGAAATCAGGGTTAGGAAAAAAGAGGGTGGGGTGAGGAAAATCAGTAAAGAACGAAAGGAAAAGCCGGCTGGCGAACACAATTGGAAATTTATAAAAATTACACGTAGATTGACAGGCAATTTGTCCTTAGCTAATACGAGGTGGGTATCCACAGACCCAAAGGCAGTTGGCTTATTGACTGATTCACCCAAACTACCCGTGGCTTAGATATGTGGCTTTTGGCGGCAAGAAGGTCTATTAGGTTTCATTAGTGGCTAATTACCCAAAAGCGAAATTAGCCGAAAGCCAATTATAGTTAATGCATTTAGCGATTCGACTCGTCGAAAGTCGTTGGACATTTATGGCCTGTCAAGCATTGTGTTACAGTTTCCCCCTCCTCGATTTTACCAACTTCGCAATTCCAATTAATAAAGTATATATCTATATGTATATATATTGGTATATTATGTGGTATCCCTGTAAGGCATAAAAAAGACATTCACACTAGCCCTTCGACATCGACATGTCTGTGAAATGGAAACAAAGTAGCCAGCCATTAGCATTAGCTCCCTCTACAACCTACTAGCCTCGCGTCTCGATTGAGCAATAAAAAACTACCGGAAAAGCATTGCCTTAGATTTACCTAGAGAAACACAAACATACGTGGATGTGCATTCGTGGCTGGCAATAAATAATGAAAATATCCGAGTGCCTCAGAAGCAGAAGGAAAGTTTCCGGCTAACACAGACACACACAGGAAAACAAAATGCTTGAAAAGAATTCAGGGAAACGAATCTCTGTTTACTAGCATTATTTTTATTTTGGAATTAAATTCCTCTCCCAGGCAGCAGTTATTAAATAGTTTCCTTCCTTTCCTAAATACCATCTAAGCCTTATCCAATGGCTTCAAAACTGTTTCTTACTAAATAATGACTGAAACTTGCTAGCTTTTCCTGGGAAAGGCTTCTCATATTCATGAGTGTCGTGCTCTGTAGATTTACTTTACAAAATTTCAAATCCAATCCCCACACACACACACACATACAGAGATTCCTGATGTGTATAAATTCCGAAAGGCAAAACATTAAATATTGAGCAGCGCTCTACGTACATTTGATTTATGAAAACATATTACTCCCGTTGCTGGATAGCACAGGGAAACATACAGCCGGAGTAGAAATACGGATATTTGTGAAAGCTTCTTCCACGGGCTGGGAATAAGCATATGAAAAACTAGCTTCCGTTACGTTTATGATAATATTTTATTAAAGCGCAGCATGCCACTAAAACTACGGGTTAGCGGCAGGCAAATGGAAGGGAGTTATCGACGCACCCAAGGAGTCGTATGGTATGGAAAAACTTGAAATCATGGAAACTTGGAACTGGCAACTTTGAAACCTCCAACCTCGAACCTCGATGACGACGTCGACACGCCCCGCCAAGCGTCCATAATAAATTTATTATTGTGCTGCGCCAGAAGTTCGAGAACGTTGGTGGGGTAGCTCAATTTTGATGGCATAGATAGGGCAACTTTTGCCTTTTGGGTGACTCTTGGCGGTTTTGACGGTGCGATAGGCACAACAACAAAGTTTTTGCCTTTTGAACTTGTTGCATTGACAACCTGCAACGGAAGTTGCTACCCTTAGATTGCAACTGTGTTGCATTTTAGGGGGAAAACTGATAAGGAATATGATAGAGATATGAAATTTTGCTTCTTTTTAAGAAATAACTAGCTCGGCACGCTTGCCTTTCAATGAGAAGGACGGCAAAAGAAAATTAACAAAATTTCAAATTTAACTGTTTAAAACAGGGCTGCCAGCTTAGTTTATAGAGAGTTGCCACATACTCCCTCAGCTTTTAAGAGCTAGAGCTGCCAACTATAACTGATCAGAGCTGCCAACTTTACTCAATTTTCCAAATTTTAAATCAATTTTCCTAATTTCAATTTGGACGAATTTTCTTCTTTTATGTTAAGTTTATTTAATACACATTGTTTGGTGTGTAATTTATAGTTTCTCATGTTAACACCTTGAATTCAAGATAAATACCCTTCTTAATATAAGCAATGCAAAGAGGTAACTTTTAGTTTGGTTTTTCATTTCTTTTTCGGCGACTGCGGATGCATCTGCATCTGAGTATGCGGCACTTTTCCCGCTGCTCTGCAAATTGGATGCAAACCTCGCCGAGCCGAACTGCAGTTGGCAAGCGTGTTGACAGCCGCCACGCACTGCGATGGCCCCCCAGGGGTTTGGGATTGGGATTGGTACTGAGATATGTTGGGAGATATGCGAGGATATACCTTTCCACTGCCGCAATATAAATAGCACTGATTTGCGCTAACAAATACGGAGCGGTGGCTGTCGCTATCTGCTATCTGGCGACTTGCTGGCATTCCGAAAGTTAAGCCAACCAACCATACAACCCATTTGTTTATTATGAAAATACGGGCTGGCTGCTCGGTCTCCTGAGTGGTAGCTCCGTATTCCGTATCGCTGTCTCCGGTTCTGTGAGCCTGTATCTGTATGCGTGTGGATTCTCCTGCTGGTCTCGGTGTGTGTGTGTGTATGTGTGTGTATGAGTGCTGCCCACAAAAACCTTAAACTGATGACACACTTCACATGGAGGTTTCTGCCTCTGGCTCTGGTTCTGGCTCTTTTTTCGTTGCCGTGTGCCCGTTCACAGAGTGCACTGAGAAAAAAATTGAAAGAACTTAAGATTTAGGCATAAAAACAAATTTAGAAAAAAAAGAAAAAGTTAAAAAATAAGAAATCTTTTAGCTAATGAAAAGTTAATTATTAATCTAGCTATTAATAATTAGTATAACTTTTAACCTTCTTCTAAAAATAATTGTTAGTCTACCAACTTACTGGAAATTTCCCTCAGTGTACCTCATAGCTGGCTTTCGGTGCTGCATTTCCGCTTGAATGGCGTCTGTGCTCGGAGCAACTAACAGCCCATTGACAAGGGGCCGTGGGTGGGTGGCTAGAGGGTTGTAGGGTTTGTTGGGCTCGGGCTCGGGCTGGGCCGATGGGCGGTATCCAGTGAGATGGGTGGAGGGACAAGTGTGTCACCACACACGACCACGTAACTGAAAGGCATACTTACCGTTTTAAAACTGTGCGCTCTGTACATGGCACACTACTATATTGACTTTGAAGCATAAAAAGCTTTCCCAGATACTCCAATACACTGGAGGCGAACTCTTTATTACCGCCCACGCCAAGGAGTCATGTATCTGTGCCTGTTTTGAGTGTGGTGGTGTGGGGGTATTGTACAATGAAAGCGGTTGGAAGCCATGCCTTGGGAATAAAGAACGAGATGACTTCCTGATCGATCTGGCTTAAGTCCTAGCCCTATCAATGGTTACCGTTGGAAGCGGTCCCTGGCGTTTAACAGGCTTATCAAAGTGTACAGATTTCGAATCCTTCTTCAACTCCACTTTGGCATCGAACAGGGCACAGAAGTCCTTGATGAAGTTGCTTAGATTATCAATTCGCGATTGCAGTTGGACAAAGGTGCGTTCATCAAAGATCTTCACCTTAATCCGGTCAGCAGTGTCCATGGTTAGCAAAGCTAGATCGAGAAGGGTTCTCCGCTCATCGAGATTCTTGGTGCACAGGCGACCGAAGTTAATCACAAAGTCTTGCATGTCTTCTATTAGTTCGCCTACTATGATATAGTTTTTTGGTCTATAGTGAATAGTTTCGGGCTTTGCTACCGAATAAGCATAATCAAATTTTTCACTGATGGCTCTTAGATCATCCGGCATTCCTTTAAGAGCTTCCTGAGTGTATACCAGAAGACCCTGTTGGGAAAAAAGATAGTATAACATTTTGAATAGCTTATATAACTCACATTCATATCGGTTATGGCATGCCAATCCGACTGCAGTTCATAATCTGGCCACCAGTCCTCGGAGGGATCCTGGAATTGATCTCTGGTGGCTGGCACCATGCAAACCTTTGAGATGTGACTGAGCTGGCCCAGGCGAGGCTTCATCAGCTCTACAATCAGTCTCTGTAGCTCTGCAAGCTCTTTGCTACCTTTGCTATCCTTGGGAGCTTCTTTTAGCAGTTTATTTAGGATTTTAGGTGAAGCCATTTGGGAAACAAAGTTCAACTTTTTGAAATTGCTTGTATAACTAATATATATTTAATGTTTTTCTGTGACACTTGAAGTAGTTTTCTGAAAACCTTTGACTCTGACAATTTTCCTTCCGGTTTTCTGGACTTACGTTTTCCACATCAGCTTTAAAATATTTTTAAAATGACGAATATTTTGGTGCAGCTGGTGCTGGTGCCTCAGGAGAATGGCTAACTCTGCGTATACGCAACGTTGTCACAGTCTGTTTGCTTTGGGTTTATAAAACTGTCTAAATCAACATACAAACACACACACAGACACACACACTGTCAGATTTTGAGCATACACATAACATGTTGGTTTATTCACATGCTAAATTTTTAGTTTGTTGTGTTTTTGTGAGCTTTTCTCGTTTTAAACTAATTGTAGCCGGCACTTTTGACCCACAATAAAATGCCATTGTGACCCTTACGCTCTTAGTATGCTGTCTTGGGGCCAGCCAAACATAAATATAGAGGTGCAAATATCGTAATAAATTCATTGAGCAGAAAAGTGTCACAAAAGCCTAAATCAACAGAAAAAAAAACGATGGAAAATATTCTAATAAATTCATTAAACAAAAAGTTTTTCATAGGCATTAAATCTCTGGGTTTTTTGTGGTTCGTAATTAGTTTATGTGATAAAATCTGTGCACAGGAACAAATGGGTTAATCTTATAGAAAAACTGTGTTTGTTTATTTTTTGTAAATACTAAACATTTTTCCTGGAAAAAATATCAAAATCATTTCTTTTAACTGCAGCAATTTAGTATAAAATCCTTTTTTGCATTTGCTAAAAACCCGACAGCTCCTTTGCTTAGTTTTTCAGCTGCAGTTGGCTCTTGTGTATATTTTTATATATACATGTATGTAATATAATATATAGCCTCTTTCTCCCCAGGATAAACAGGCTGGCAGTAGATAGGCACTATGAAAGTCGGAGAGCCAGAAGGACGAAGTGACTGAAGGACCGGCAGACAGACGACGGACGACGGACGACGCTTCTGGAAAAACGTTGGCGCAAAAACTTTTCGAGATTTGTGTCAGCTCGTTTGAGAATTAGTCGTAGGTTTTTAGCAAAATTAAAAAAAATCTGTCACTATGCGGTTGGCATTTGCCGTCTCATTGTTTTTCGGTCCCCCGACTTGGTCCCCAGATCCCCTTGGCTGGCTGTATCCCCGCCCACTGTATCCCCGCCCAACTGTTTCCCCTTCAGATCCAGTTTGTGTTTCCATTTCTGTTTCTCTGCCTCTATTTAGATAGTCACTTCTGCTCGCTGCACATGGACACTGGAAAATGTACACATTAAAATAATGTTATATGAAAATGTTTTCCCAGTTTTCTCAAAAAATGTAGAAAGAACTCTCAAACTGCTGAACAATTATAGAAATTTTCAAAAATTATAGAAAAAGGTTTTTAAGTTAAGTTTAGCTGACTCTTAATAACTGAGAGAGGTTTTTGAACTTTGTGGAACTTTTTCTCTGATTTTCCCTAACCAAAACTTTTATTGTTTTCTCTAATTAAGCTTAAATTATCATTTTTTAGACTTTAAGGAACATTATCTCAGTCATAACTCTAGATAGAACATAAAATCGAGTGTGTGGATGAGTTCTCTCGGCACTTTGATGCGACTATGCCTTAAATAATTTATGTGCCGCAAAATGTGCAAAGTAATTTATTCTGATTATATGCAAAACAAGAACCGTCTGAAAGAAAAAAATGAAAATGGGCATCAAATAAAATGTGAAACGGCCGAGGAGTGTCAAGAAAAAAAGGCGGAGCTTTGGAGTCAAGTGCAGAGTAAAGAGAATTAAGTCCTGCACCTGGGCACTGCCTTATTTTCGTTTGGCCAAAAAAAAGTCTCTTCAAAGGGGCCCTAAAAATTTATGTTGCTATAATTTAGCTTTAAAATCGCACCAAACCTCAACCCAGCTCATCCGAAAAGTGAAAAGTGGCAGCCAGGGGGCGGGCCACGCATTTAAACGGAAATAAAATAAAATTACAAAAAGTGCGCAACTTTTTGACGTTGCGATTGTTATCCTCGTTGCTCTGGTGTTTTCTTTTTTCTTTCCTTTTTTTTTCTTTTTTTTGTATTTTACTGAGGGCCGAAACGGCTGTCAGAAAGTGATTTAGAAACTATGCTATGACCTGGGTACCTTGGGCCAGGTCGAAAGCCGAGTTCCAAGAGAGCGAGTTCCGAGTTCTCTGGATTGGCATTTTGTTTGTTGTTGGCCTGTCGGCTGCCTGTCGTTTGGCGGCTATAAAGTTGAATTTAAATTCAACATTTTCGGTATTCTCATTACCATTTCAGTGTGGGCCATTGAAAATGCCTTGAAACGAATTGAAATCAAATTGTTTTCACATTTCTGCGGTTAGATAATTTAAGCAAAATTCCCCAGCAAACCGAAAATGATGTTAACGTGAGTCAAGTGGCAAAATGTTAATATTAATTCAGAGACTCGTTTATAGTTTTTGCTAGCCTTAAATGCCGTTGGCAAATATGCTGAAAATGTCAAAATGTCGCTTACATATTTAATGCGCTCTAACAGGCTTAATCAACATTACAAAGTAATTAGAGTTAATTCTTTTGTACTTGAGCGAGCACCTGGCAGGTGGTAGAAGGCAGTTGGTAGTCGGTAGTCAGTCGACGGTATTCGGTAGTGGGTTGTCAAAGTGCTTACGCATGTAGCCGGTGACACAGCGACATTGAAGCTGTGAAAGCTGTAGCCGGAGCTGAGGTGAGAGGCTGAAAATGATGACGACGATGATGAGGATGATGATGATGATGAGGATGAGGATGAGACACCCGTATCTGTAAACTGTTGCGCGGCAATTTGCATGGTTAATTATCTATTAACTTGAGCATAACTTTTTCTGGGGGTGTGGTGTGGGCGAAGGTTTCTCAGGACTCGCAGCCAAACTGCAGATACACAGACACACGCAGGCGAATTAGAAGGCTCCAACGAAAATATATACATCCGTTTCCGCTGTTGTCCTGGCAGTGGCTGCCATTGTCATTATATGGGAGGTAAAGCAAACTGCGAAAAATTCAAAAGCTTCCAGGAATCAAGTGAAATTATTAATACTCTTGTGAAGGGAATGGAAAGTTAAGAATGTTTTCGCTGAACATTTTCCTCGAAATAATTCCTTTTTCTGATTTAATTAATTCTGTTTAGAGGTTGTTAAATCTTGTAATTAAATTAAAAGATATTTAACTAAAGGTAGAATAATAATATTTAAAATCTAACTTTTATAGCTGATATACCCCCAGCATGTACTTCAGTTATATAGCGTATAGGAGCAGCGTCAGCGGAAACAAGTTTATGGTAATCTTAATGCCTAAAGCTTTCCTTTGTTTTGATGCCGCTGCATGCCGTAAATTTCACTTATTAAATATTTGTGCTTAATTAAGAATTTAAGTCTCACAACAAGAGAGAGAGAGGGACTGTTGGGAGGTAAGTGACGTCAAGACCAGACTTCCAATGGCATTGGAGGGCTTGCACACAGTTCAATCTAGGCTTTAACTTTAATTATATATATAATTCAGGCCAGGTTATGAGTGCTTAAAATCACAGAAATAAAGCTGCCTTGAGTTATGACCTCCACTAAAAGTTTGGCAAGCTCTAAGTTGAAACATAACCATTTAGATTTCAGATTATAAATCATTAGGAAAGTGTTTGGAGTTTAAAAGGAGAAGACTTGCCAGTTAAAGGCTCCTTTCTATGTTTTATACCAAAAATTCAATAAAAATAAAAAGCCTTTTGTAGAAATACACAAAAGCTTCTCCTGCCAGCGACTAAAATAAATAAATCTTGTCCAGTAAGTAAATACAAATAACATTTTATAGTTTCTACAAACATCGATTGAGGAAGTTTCTGATTGAGACAATTGGAGAGTTATTGCCTGGCAATGGATTCCATTCGTCTTGCGACACATTCGAACCGAATCCGAATCCATTTTCGGTTAATTTTTAAGAGCCGCCCCAATCGATCTCCATTATTGACACATTTTTGACAAATTGCCAGATAGCCACAGAAGAAAGAAGGTGGCAGACAGAAGTTCTGTAAGTCCTTTTTCTTGTCCTGCAACTCGCAACTGAAACGTGTCTCGCATTTTTGAGAAGCACGGACAAAGGGCAGTCTACCTTTCTGGTTTTTCCGGCGAATCCCGAATGGCGATTGGCGTATGGCTCCTTGGCTGGATGGCTCAATGGAAAAGGGTCAACGATTTGCGTATTATTTGCTTTATTTTCAATACGCAGAACGAACCCTTGTCAGGGAGCCAAAAGGACTCATTGCTAGGCAATGAATGCCTCGTCGCTGCGCAAATATTACCACTTCTTCCCTCAGCACATGCCACATGCCACATGCCTCCTTGCCTGGCCTGCGACCGGTTGTGTCCTTGCTCCGCTTCTTTCGCACATTTCAGTTCATTTCTGGCCTTAATTATGTGCGGCACAGAACAAACAACAAATGCACTGGCAACAGCAACAGAAACACACATGCAGCCCATGTGCACATGCAGTTTCAGCCCAGTTAATTGCTCATGGCACTCGGAGGCTTCCCTTCCTCTCTCTCTCTCTCTCTCTTTCTCTCTGCGCCACTTGACCGACCTGCTGCTGCAGCTGCCGAGACGTCCTGCGACTGCCATCCTACCATTGTACATCATCCTCAAACCTCTACTCTCTTGGCCTGACATTATTTAAACTAAATGCTCACCTTAAAATCACATTCTAACAGTTTCTTTTGGGACTCTGAAAATGTTTCTTTTGCCTGCGGCAAGTTTTTCGTTATTTAAAACGACCTTTGTCTGCGCTTGACCCTCTGTCACAACGGCTGTTGTCGTCCGCCCCTACAAGTCCTGATTGCACTGAAAGAAAGTTTAAGTAATTTTAATGGGTTTTTAATTTACAGGGGTAGTTCATGGTATTCCAGTTGCCTGAATGTTTTCTAGTGAGCAAAGAAGCATCTTTTAGATTTAAGATTCAACCTTTTGGGGATTTCAATTTTACACAAACTAAAATTGCAAAAAAACCATAAAGCTTGAGAAACAAAAATGTGAAAAAACTTTCTAAACACTGCCTTTGATGTTGTTGAATTGTTTTTCAAACTCTCCACTTTTTCCACAGCTTAACAAAAAACATTTAAAAAGTATCTTCTCTTATGTTTATGGTTTCCCTTGATTTATTTTTAGCCAAATTAAGATTTGAAGAGATATTTTTGTCCAGAAACATTGAAACCATGAAATATTATTATATTTTTATATTTTATTACATTTTTTCTCAATACCCCCCCTTTACATTTGCGCTTTTCCCTTAACCAGTTGCCTTTGCAGCTGCTCGTTGTTGTGCACAATATTGCGGAGGCGACCGGCTTTGATGTCCTCTTATCAGTTCATCGCCCTGAATTGCTGTCGCACTTAAGGAGCGGTCGAAAAGGGTTTTCTCTGCCGTCGAGGTTAAGCCCTTTTTTGCGATGCCCAGATAGTTTTTTCCTCTCTTTGCCAGATCCGTATTGAAATAAAAGAACCAGTCGGAATGGAAAACTTTATACTTGGCTAAGCAAATGTACACGTAATAATATGGTCATGGCAATTATTATTCCAACAAGGAATGTGATAGCCCTTTGAAAAGAATGCAAACTGCAGTTCAGCTTCAGAGAAATGCTATGTAGAAGGGACAACTCACTCTTACCTTGTTTGGCAACTGCACAATGGTTAGGGGCTGTCAATTTAGTTAGCCCCCAAAAATGCAGGTAATAATGAGAGTCAAGCCAGCGGCAGTGAAAAAACATACAAAATGTCGACGTCGACTCACGCCCAAAAATGCCACTTCCTGCGGCTTAATTTCCGTTTCAAGTGAATTTCCTTGCTGCTAATTTTGTTGCACACACACACACACACACACACACCTATACAGTCAAAAAGAGCAAGTGCTGCTCGAATGGAAACTGGGCCACACGGACAGAAGTACGGACAGGGACACGGACACGGACACGGACACGGACATTGCTTTCATGCTTCGGCTCTCACCGACCAGTGATTTTCGCCGGCTTGCCATTTGTTTAGCGCATAGTTTTCTTGAACCAAAACAAAGCAATGCCAGAAACAAAGCGAAAACTTTAATATCCGCACTCAATGGCACAACAGCAACAAGCTACATGGCGAACAATGCCCACTTCAATGTCTATTGATGGGCCACGTGTGTGTTACAACCCACTATCTACCCCTCGGTTGCCACCTCTATACATAGTTCCTCGCTGAAACCTCTGCTATTGTCATTGACCTGGGTTTCGGATCGTTTATGCGACGAGAAAATTAAGGTATTACTTTGGGGAATGGTCAAAACATAAACTAAAACTGTTTTCTTAAAAATATATAATATTTTCGACTTTTTTTCGTCACTATTTTCGAAGGAATCCAAGTTGGATTTCTTGTACTATACTTCTGCTATCTAAAATGGAGAACTACTTATTTTTCCTTCCCCATAAACTTAGGGTCCAAAAGCCAGATTGTGAGTCCTCTGCAGACTCGGCGAATATTAAGCCATTGTGAGCCTTGCCAGCACGCTTTTAACCCGAAATTCAACGAGTTAGCGTCTCAGACAAAACTTTTTTAACTGAGCTGCAGCATAAAAGCTCCTCGGCCATTACTATCATTCACAGGGCCAACAACTACAACTACAATAACCGGCAGCTATTACGGGTGGCTTAGTCCTGGTGGCTTCTCGTTCCTCGTCCTGAGTCCTAAAACTGGAATCCTGGTCCTGAGTGTTTGCTGCCATTTTTATTTGCAGGGCTTTGAGTTTATGGGCAAATGTGCATTGAGCATTTGTGTCTCTATCTGCGGGGTACAGAGTCTGCAGCCAGGAGCAGAAGCAGGACTCAGGACGAAGAGCTCCGGGAGACTCAGGTCTCTGGACCCAGCAGCATTGTTTGTGGTTCATTGTCTTCATAGGCCGTATTCCGTATTCCGTATTTCGTATTTCGTATTCCATAGTTAGTATCTGCGGTTAGCAGTTCGAATGCCTCCTGCAAGTGGTTATCTTTCCAGGGCCCCTTCTGGGCTAATGTGAAATATGCATGCTTAATTGTAATTCTAAATCCGAAACCACGGCACATTAGTTGTCCGGGCGGCAGTCACTGTTGCAAATTAACATCAATAATAAATTTCGATTTGCGGCAATTACGAATGGGTGTAGTCCAGGGCACAGTCCCTATATATTATACATACAAATTGATTGATTTATTATGAGGTAAATACATAAATCTGTGGCCATTCATTGTGCAGCTCGATGGTTCGATGAAAAGCGTTTCGAAAATTATTCCACCAGCCATTATATATATTTTCTGCTTATATATCCTAACACAAACGTTAATATTTAACCCAGGGCTATTTAGAAAAAATCAATGTCTATGGCAATCCCGATGCCATAAACGTCACATGCATGCCGCCCCCAAAGGCAACGGTTGCCCCCACCACGGCGGTAAGTCATCTACAACGACAACGACGACGACGTCACCACTAAACCAACAGAATTGGCATTGGTTTGCATTTAAATTAATTAATGAATAGCCGGGCAAATCATCTTACTGATAAATTACATTAAAATTGCATTATGTCCACATAAGTGAGAGAATATTTGCCTGGGATTTCCTGCCTGATTTATTGAGACTACTAATGCTGCAAATAACATGTAATCAGATGCACTTATGTAATGATGCATTTTTAATCCAGGCGCTATTAAGTTATATTTTTGAATTAAGCAGCTCATCAAGGATAATCTGCTTGGTTTTACTCTGCAAATTTGCTATTTCTATGTTTATTTTGCACTAGAAATCTTGCTAAGAGAGAGAGAGAGTCCTTTGAAATGTCTGCAAATCCTAGTTAGACATTTGAATTAACTAACAAAGTGGTTAGGTCCATATACATTTTAGTTTTAACCATTCCCCTTCTTTAAATTATTATTTCTTAATTTCGTTTTATGTTTTTAAGGATGAGGATTCTTTGCTTTATGAAGGATCTGGCGAGGTATGTTGATTTATCTCATTTATTTTAACCTAAATTTCTCCCCTTATTATTTAACTTTTTACCTTTCCTTCTTTCTATATTTTTAACCCCAAGAGTTTACCCTTCGAAGATTCAACGGAAGTGAATATTTTAGGAGATGATTTTTGGAATCTAGGCGAAGAGGTTAGTCTGCAGCCTCGATTGAAGGGAATTCTATTAATACAATTAAGTAAAGTTATTTTCAGTGCATTGGACAAGTGCAGATTGGCATTGTTTTGCTATTTGCTATTGACAGTGCTCTTGAAAAGCCATAAAATGGGCATATTGGTTGGCAGTGGTCAGCTGTGTGGCTGCACTTTGCATAATTAAATATTTATATATTTAGTTATAAGTTAATACCCATGCCGGGCGAAATGAAAATCGATGAATAAACGACAACAGTTTGCACTCTGGTCTTAATGAGTTTTCGATTTCCCATTCCGCAGGCGACAGAAATCTTCGACGCCAGCGGTATGCAGCCCCCGGGACAGACGCAATACACGCACGAGAGACGTAAGTGCAACCAATCCCGCAGGAATCCATTCCACTCTGGCTAATGTGTCTCTTCTATGCTAATGCAATGGTTTTCACCGCATCCTTTTCCATTTTTTTTCCGCTCTTTTACAGCGTACCGCGGCATTAAGGGCGAGAAGGGAGAGCGGGGGCCCAAGGGCGACAGCATTCGCGGTCCGCCGGGACCGCCGGGTCCGCCCGGGCCCAAAGGTGAGACGGCCGCCTATCCGCCCTTTGTGGAGACAACGAGTGCGGGGGCTGTGAGTATTGCAAATTGAAGCTTATCTGCCGCGAGCATCTGCACAGAGAAAAATAATGATAAAATACAATAAATAAAAAAAAAGTTTACAAATACTTACATATTTAAATCTACAGAAAATGCCACAATCATTGCTTGAAATCCGAAATAATTTTCGAAATCCGAAAATCTGTAAGTTAAAGTTAAAGTTTTTATGGCATACTTTTGGGAAAATCAATTAGCAATTTCAAACCTTTCAAAATTTTTTGGTTTATCTGTTAGATATATTTTCTTTTATGATTCTGAAATCAAAGAAACTCAACATATAAAAGATTTTTCTCTGTGCCGTTGTGGTGGGCAACGCGAAATTGCCTGCCTGTCATAACGATGTGCCGTGGTAATGTGATCCGATCCCTAGCCAGGTGCTAAGTTTGTATTCCATTCCTCCACAGAAATACACTGGCGAGTGTACATGTAATGCGTCTGATATCCTAGAGGCCATCAAGGAAAATGAGTCGTTGCGGGAAACGTTGCGAGGAGCGCCAGGTGCGGCGGGCAAGGATGGAAAGCCAGGTACCCCTGGTCACACCGTAAGTACCATTCCATCTCATTTCGAGTGATTTTCTGTATTTATTTTCATACTCTAGCAGAGGATTATTTAACGATGGCAAAATAGTATAGATGAAAGTTATAAAAGGATTATTTATTCCAGTTTTGATAAGGAGAACAGACTAAAGTCTTATCTAACGAGATACTAAATTATAAAATCAGTTAAAAGAATGAGTAGGTTGTACTAATTTAACCCTAGTCAGAGATAGTAGAAGTCTAGAGCTTAGTTTCCATCTCAGAAATCGTATATAGAAGCTAAAGAAGTATAGTCAAGCTGTCGTTATACTTGAACGAACTATATAATCGAACTAAAAGGTATTTGAAGCTGGATAGCTGGATAGCTGGATAGCTGGAGCTAAACTCTCTTTCATGTTTTCCTTCCGTTCGTTGGGCTTATCTGTGTGTACGGCAATTTCATGTTACAACGGGTTGGCAAAAAGGCAATATTTGACATGAATCTAACACATTTTCAATTTCATTACACACATCGTCTAATCTCCAAGAGTGAGTGGCTTGAAGGAGGATGGACTGGGGAATTGGCAAGGGAGGGGAGTTGAGAGGCGATTTCAGCAAAAGGGGCTGCATGTTTTCCTATGTCAAACATCATAATTTGCACAGTGCAGTGTGTGTGTGTGTGTGCGTTAGGGAGTGTGCGTGTAACCGGAAATGGAAAAAACGTTAACGTACACTTACTCACACACACACACTCTAACAATCGCGCAGAAGATGAGAAAAACGAGAAAATGGAATGGAATCGTAACGAAAATTTCTTTATGCGCCAGCTCACGCTTAAACACTTATCCACTCTCCGGGTGCTACTCGTTATATTATCTCATCAGCTGGGAACGTCTTTGGCAACCATAAGAGTTCACTTTGGATACACAAAGGATGTCTCCATGCCTGTGTCTGTGTGTGTTCAACTACACTTGACTATGTACTTGCCATTTACTTTATATATGATATAGTAGATGTGTGTCTGTATGCTCGGGTCAAAGGCAAAGTCCACAATGTTACAACCTTCTCTCTCTCGTTTGGGCCACTCGACTCGACTCACTTAAGTGCTTATCACGCAACAGGGCCAAAAACTTTGAGCAGCTAACCGAAAGTATAGAAAAAACATTGAATGCATGTCCATTACTCGGGCATGGGGTATGGGGCAATGGGAATTATTCAAAAAGCGAAAGCAGGCCAAAGACATTCACTTCTAAAGCCGTCTGTCTCTCCCATTCAATCTCGCATTTTCTGGGGCACTCCAGCAACCTGTGGAACGCAGCCTCTTCAATGCAATGCAATACATCAAAAGGAAAGCGGTATGCTGGGCATTCTGCGGTCCATCGCCAGCAGCTAACAGCTAAGGGAAATATGCCAGCTTTGGGTCACCACCCCTTCCCCCATTTTCCTTTCACAAGCCATTCCGTCGACCCAAAAAACGAGGACCCACCCAAAATCCCCCCCCCAACTCCCAAAAGGCTTTGCCGGCACGGTGAAATATGGCAAGCTGGCGCGCATACCGGAAATTCCAGCGACAACTTTGTTGCCCCACTGCTAATCCCTTAACTAATAGCAATTAATTTAAAAGACGACGATAAGCAACAGCTACAACGGCTACAACAACCCAGCTACTAGAACATGGCACGCAAATGGCACACAGCGTGACCATTTTGCATAAGATTAAGAACATTGGAAGACACACATATTTTTTGTGTACCCATCCATGTCGCCTATTGGAATGTCGAGACCCCAAGCTAAACCAACCCAAAACCCAATCCAATCCGATTCCAAGGGCTTTCCGCCTCCTCCTAAGAAAACCCAACCGCATGCCACATGAACGGGGCCCAGTCGCGTAGATTAATGAGCTTGGACTAAAACGCAACGATTATGTAAATCGACCGCAGCCAGTTAGGCAGCCCAAAACTGAAGCTTGAACTCGAATCCCAAAAAAAAATAACAGAAACAACAACAGCTCCTGTAGTAGAACTTGCCATGTAGACGTAGATTTGTAGCTCTAAGGACGCAGGACACGTTATATGCACGCCCACTAATGTGATTTATTTCTCTGTCGCTGCCGGCGACGTTTCTTCTCTTTTCCTTCCCTCCGGATCTCTCTCCGTCTTGTTTCCGTTTACATTTATACAGGGAGCCACCGGAGTGCCAGGAGCTCGAGGCGCCCGGGGATCCGAAGGTGCCCAGGGGCTGAAGGGTGAGCCAGGCGTCGACGGACTGCCCGGAGTCGTTGGTCCGCCGGGACCACCGGGACCGCCTGGTTTGCCCGAGAATTACGATGTAAGTATTCCATTCAAAAACAAAATACAAAAACACTTTACTTTTACTTACAAGTTTATGTGCTAAATTACGTCTTAACGGGTTTTAACTTTAAATTTATTATGCAATTTTAAAGTTCATTGAGTGTTTCATGTGAAGCTTACTTTCTTGTGTAAAAGCCAATTATGTATTTTAGTTCAAGCAGGTCTCTTTTATTTTACTGACTAACAATGAATTAAAACGATCGAAAAATATTTACAAAACAAATGGCCTTATCTTAGCTTAACATCGTTTATCGAAATGATATCGATACTTAAGGTGACCATCCAGTAAGCCTTCTACACTTATTTGGTCCGAAGTCGATAAATAATAAAACTTTTAACCTATCGAGTTAGTTTTTCAACTTTCGATTTAAATCTGTTGGAAATTTTATTTTGATATTTTATACAAAATATTGTAAAATACTTTTTTCTTCTTCGGTGAAACTCTCAGAATATACTTTGGATCTTCCAAAGCTCTAAGTCTTAAAATAAATAAACTATTTAAGCTAAGATGTAAGACCTTTGCCCTCTAATCTAACATTTTTGCATTCAATTATTAAAAATGTTAATAAAAATAAAGAAATCTTGAAACCTAGAGGGTAAGGGTATTCAATCTTCGACTAATCGAAGGTAGTATTATTTTTAATTTCCCTTACTTCTTTCTATGTTTGCTTTCGATCAAAATTGCACCTTTTACACTGGGCAAACAGAGGCGTGAGACGGGCTAATGCAGTTGCTCGATGTCCAGGGACCAGGACCACATCCTTCCGTCCTACCACGTCTTGCACTCCTTGTCCATTGTCCGTCTGTTTTTCAATCACGCACATCTTTATGAATTGCGACTGGCCAAGGTAAACGTCCGTCGTGTTTTACAAGCCGCACAATTTGCCTAAACTAATTTCCTTCCTGGCTCGCGCAGTAACTGTGAAAAATTACCACCCTAGTGGCTCGTGGCGTCACGCCAGCTTCAAATTCCGAATCAGATTCCCCTACTCAGAGTCCAGAGTCCAGAGTCCAAAGCCCTACAGCCAAGTGTGAGAGTCTGCCAAAAGCGGGCACGTTCAGTGGCCAACATTGTCGTTGTCGCGAATGCCACAAATGGCCTATCTCTGCTAATAATCTTAAAACCGCAAAGGTTCCGCGGAAACATCTCCTGGCGAAAGGGCCGAAACGTAAGCGTCTTGAGCACGCGAGCCGCCAGTCCTAACCCAAATTGAAGTGGAGTCGTTGTGTCGACGTTGAAGTCAAGTGGAGTCTACACTGAAAGAAAAAAAGGTTTCTTATCTAATCGTTCTAAGTCATTGGAAAACAAGTGGCATGTAGCAAATAGCAAGTATATAGCCAAATTTAGTAAGTAAAGAATGCAGCTTTAGGAAACATTTATTCAAAAATAAATATAATAATGTTTAGTTCCTTGTTAGCCAAGACTAAAGTATTTCCTGGGTAATATTACAGTTAGGAATTAGCCTCCACATTTATTTACACGAAAATATGTTTTAAAAATAGATTTATTCTCCGTGCAGCTGGAGTCCTTAGAATAGCCTTTAGGCAGGCATGGGCTCATGATTCGGGGTGCCGCATGCCACATGGCAATGTCGATGTCGATGGCGGTGTTCCAGCTGGTGGCAATTACCGTTATCAGAGCACGGCGCGCAGTTCACGCGGTTAAATGCGGTAACACGCACACAGACACAGATACAAATACAGATACGGATATAGGGATAGGGAGTAGCCAACACTGCCAGTCACCCACACAAACGTAAACATATCACTCGTCGTGGCACTCCGCACCGTTGCCACTTTGAACCCTTTCATGGAAGAGTGAAACTTTTCTTTTTGCCGCTCGGCTTTATCACCGCATTTCAACGCCGTATGTTGCCCGCTTTTCCATCTAACAGTATGGGTGGTGGCAACGGTGGGCGGTGGGCGGTTGGTTGGGGCCGTAATCATTATCGCACTGTTACGTTTATGAAAGTGTCAAGCTACTTGTGGTCGACGAGGCGGCAGTAAAAATCAGACAGCCACTCGCCTCTGTCGGCCCGCCCATTGTTTAATGTCGGAGGGTTTATCATCATTATCATCACCCCAGAGCCGTAGAGCTGTGGAGCCTTTTAAAAGCTTTCTGTGGGTGTCATACCCTCTGTGTGTTATCCTCGGGATTGGGGCGGTGCCAGTAGATCCGACTAGGAAGCCACTGGCAGTTGTACAAATGGGTTGGAATTTAAACGTAATAATAAAATAGAAATCAGGAAGAAAAGGGAAAAGAATGTTAAGGAAAAACTTTTATAAAATTTTAGAAAAAATAACTGAAATATAATCTTTTATAGGGTATGAAATAGGTGTTAATATGGAAAAACCGAAGACTTTCTAAAGACACATTTAGAGTCCCCAAGTAAGGGAAATGCTTTTATGTTTATTAGAACGTCTTTTGATTGTCGACACGACGACTTCCACTTTTTCAGATGTTTTATTCACAAAAATTTACCAAGTTACTTCCATATACTCGTACATGAGTGTTTCCCCTTAAAAGTTGCAATTTTGAAAGAAAATAAAAATCGTTTTCTGATTTAAGAACCAGTGAAATCATCTACTAATGCGCTCTAATTTCACGCCCATTGCTCTATATTATTGTTAAACGTATATCGTATCGAAAATTATGTATTCTTGTAACAATCAACACATAAATAACAGATAAATTGGAATCCAACCAGGACCTTCAAGGTATAAACATTTTAACAATTTCATCTTATGTTCCCACCAACACCACCACCACCACTTACTCGTTAATAAAACAAAAACCAAAAAAGGTTTGTCGGGGGTAAGCGATGGTCATATAGCCTTTAATGGACTAGAACCACTTGGCATCATTAGTCCCGCCCAGAAATCTGAGTGGAACTACGCCCACGAACAGCAAAAAAATAAGCTCCGAAGATCATTAATCAAATTTCCGCCGTGTGTTTGCTGCATGTGCTGTCCAATGGTGTCCCTCGTCAAAAAGGGACGCCTGCTGTGGAGTGAAAAAATGATCAGAAAAATGGGGCCCAAAAAAAAAATACATGTATCGAAAATAAATTGTACAACAAGCAAATATTTAACAAATTACTATGCCTATACACATACCCATACACAGGAATCCCTAATGGTCAACTCGATGGGCGCATTCCGGGGGACGACGCAGCCGGGAGCCAAAGGTGTGCCCGGCGAGAAAGGTGATGCCGGCCAGAAAGGAGAGCGTGGCGATCCGGTAAGTCAGAGGGCATGTCTAATAAATGGCCTGGGTTTTCCTTCCATCCATATACCTCAACCCTCAATAATTCCTAGTTCTGTGTGTGTGTGTGTGTGTGCGTAGGTGTATGCATTATAAAGTGTTCCTTGTGCCCACACGATTGTTGTTTCAAATATATATAATAATAATTTCTGCCCTATTGACTACTCAATTGATTTTGAGGCTTCTTAAAAGGGCAATCGGGCCAAGGAGCTCGCCGCCCTTAGCCCAAATGAGCAAAACAGTCTGCAAGGATAATTTTTATTCGTGTTTGGTAGGGCATTTTAGGGCAGAAGGTTAAAGGTTTCCATTTATGAGGAAGGAATAGAATGGGTTTTAGATATTGTTCTGATGTCAAGGAGGTATCATAAGAAATAATTATATAGTTAATATTCCCAATAAAACTTTACTAATAACGTTTTTAAAAGTTCATAAAATAAAAGAAAATTAACGAAAAATGGTCCAGTTAATACCTTTTAATAACCATTTCAAATCAATTCCTTACAATAGAGGCTATATATTCCTCTTAAGATAAATAATACTTAAGGTTAGTAAAAGTTTTCTGTTATCTCCTTTCAAAATTTTACTGCTACCCGAAAACGAAATATCTATCTAATAAATGCCAAGCGATTAACCCCGTGAAAGGATAAACGCCCCCAAACTCCTAAATTACTTCTTTGAGTTCAAGCCAAATTGTACCCATTTTGATAGATAATAATAATTCTTTCCAGGACGCTTCAGCTCCAGCTGAGCTCCACCTTCTGCTACTCCCTGCTTTCATATTTATGGCATCGCAGTCATTTGTGCAGAGGAAATACACAATTTGGGACATAAATTTCTATCAGCAGAGTTGTCCCCGAAATGCGTCACTTGAGACGATGGACGAAATGTCTGCTGATTTCTTGTCCGGTCGTGGGGGCCAATTTGTGTGCATTTATAGCTCATTTGATTTTCAGTGGATATGGTCATGTTGTGGATCACATCCCCGAAAATAAAGGGGGTCGTGAATGGGGCGTCCCTTCATAAACTATTTCGTTTCGTTTCTTTTCACTTCTCGTTTTGGCATTACTTTCATAATAAGTTTTGGCCATTTGGGAAGCTCATCCTGCTTAGGAGACGCTTACTTCCCAGCCATTACCCTGTATGCCATTTAGCAGCTTAGTTGGGGTGGCTTTGCACCCTCGGACTGAAGGAGGATCCTCCTCCTCCTCGCTCCTCCCTCACCAAGTACGTATTTCTTTTATGTGCAACCTCAAAAACTTAAATCTGCCAGCAGGACTGGCATAATGTGCTTGTTGTTAGTCTGTTTGTTTGTCGGTTTGCCGGGTTTTTTCCTTTCGGCTTTAGCTTTCGGTTGTGCAAATTATCCGGACCGGTGACTCTCACGTGGACGGCTTCCGGGTGTCGCAGATTACTCTGTCGAGCAACAACATCCAAATTGGGCCCATAAAGACACATCCACGACCTTTTCATATACATAAGTAATATTTATGCGGCTTTATGTGGCAAAGGAATCTCGGTGTAACAAGGTCGCTTTTAAGTAGTTTACCCCTGGTGGCCACACCCGGAATTAATCGTGCGTAAAATAAAAAGAAATTATGCAAACAGCCGCCCATTGAGCTTACACACACAGCCACACACTCATATTATGAAAAAATCGATTGAAATTTTATGATAACTTCACGCCCAATTTGTCAGATGGCGGAGATGGCGGCATGTGCCGGCAGCCCAAGTTATTGCATTACAATTTTCAGGGAAAACTAATATGGAAATTAGCATTTTAAACGTATGAATACACGCACAATTAGGTACGTTTCATTAGGCCTAAAAAACAGACGCGCGCGCACACACACAGAGGGATCTTGAAAGACAGCCAACTAAGGAGCACTCGTGTGTGTTTATGTATGTGTGTTGCCTTATTAATTATTCATTAGTTGGTATTAAGTTGGCGATATGGAGCAAGGTCTACGCCCGCAACAAGCTTGGAAAGCTCAAGGAAAGCAGCAGTCGGATCAGCCAGTTACCTCTGAAATTTCCCAACCCAAATACCAACATCCTAACATCAGGCGTGCGAATTTATGGCGAACCATTTAAGGCGCTGATGATGTGGAAGACGTCTCGACTCGCTGGGGATGAATTGAGTCGAAGTCGAGCCGAAGGAAGGAAGCAAATTTCCACACAAAAACCAAAAGGACCACGACCCATCCACCCGAAAGGAATATGGTTTTGTGTTTTCGGGCTTGTCACCCAGCCATTGCATAAATTTCGCTTTGCGTGTGTATGCTTTCGTGTGTGTGTGTGTGTGTGCGTGTGTGTGTGGTGTGCGGGATTTCGGAATTGATTTGATTTCAAAATGAGTTTGAATTGAATTTTTTCTGTCGTCGACAAAACGTTTGAAATTGAGTTTTACGGCCAAATTAGGCAAGAGGCTGCTGCGGCTGCTAGGCCCAATCCCCGTCCCAGTACAACCTTCGCCTCTATCCTCCATCCTGTCCCCCTGGGCACATGTAGCCATATATTTAAGACCGTAAATCATTTCACACACTTGCTTTCCTTTTCTCGCCATCTTTCCAACGAAATGAAAAACAGGGTCACAAAGGTGCACACGGGCCCAGTGGCGCAAAGGGTGAGCCCGGCGAACCGGGAACGCCCGGACTGCCGGGATTGCCTGGACAGGCTGGACAGCCCGGCGGACTCGAGGGCCTGGCCAATGCCAACGGAACCAAGGGCGAAAAGGGCGAGAAGGGCATGAGGGGAAGGCGCGGCGGAACGGGTGCAACTGGACCAATTGGACCGCCCGGAAAACCCGGAGCCATGGGCGATATTGGCCACTCGGTAAGTGAAAGGGGAAAAGCTATAGAAGTCTCGGCCACTCGGAACTTTTGCATGCATATTCATGAGATTGACCAACTTTCACATGCTTTCACCCATTCTGGCCAGAAGCGTAGTCAAAATTCTTTTATGGGTGAAAGCTGTGAGTTTTGGTAAAGAGAAAATATTGTTTTGGTAGCGAGAAAATTCTGCTTTTATGTACATTAAGTTATTTTCAAAGATAAATAGTTTCATAATTAATACTATACTTGAAAAGGTAATAAAATTTATACTATTTGATATAAACTTTATAAATCGAATTTAGGATTAGTTTCCCATCACAACTACGCCCATGAGTTCTGGCTCCAATGTTATTGCTGTTGAGAAAGTTCAGAGACAAACAGAAATTTTCTGGCCGCATTCGCGATCTAGACAATCAGGGCACTAAAGGAGGTTGAGACGCACGGAAAAACAGGAACAAGAGCGGCGGAATGAACTCAAACGAAAAGTATTTTAAGTGCATTTTCATCACGGTTATTCAGGACGCAGGATGGCAGTCAGCGCATCGCACGATTCCAATTGCAGTTCACCCAGAATTTTCAGAATTTCCGCCATTATTTGGCAATAACAACTGCTAAGCAATGGTAGCAAGGAGCAAAGTTTCCTTTTTTTAGGGGGTGGTGGGGAAAGAGTCAACGAATTGAAAGGCAGGCGCGTGTGCTGCACTTTTCCAAATGGGCGATGGTGTCCTTTGGCATATTCTATGCCAACTGGCATCGTTTACCGCCGCGAAATCAAAATCTTGCAACGTATTTACATGAGCTGCCAGCCAAATGGAACTTTGGCTCAATTGCCGGAACGAGAGGAGAGACAAAAAAGCGTTGCAACTAGAGGACTGTTGCACTCTTCTCTTGGAACTGCAAAAGTTTTTCCAGTTTTTTGGCCGCAGTTCAAGTTGTTCCCAGTTGGTCCGATTCGTTGCACTAGAAACTTGGATACTCCACGCGAGGCTGACGGCTTTTGCTGCCAATGATCTTATAATTTGCTCTCAACTTTCCCACTTACGAATGTGATTTTTCCTGGCCATCTGCAAACTTTGCTACGTGCTGATGTCATTTAGGCGATATAAAGGATATCAAATATATAATTGAACGATTTTTAAAATGGGATAATATTCTATACATATCTTTTCAGCTTATTCAATGGTTTTTCCTATCATTATTCCCTGATTTTTATTTGACTTAATTTAATTGATTCACAGGGCCGGCCTGGTATGACAGGACCAAAGGGTGAGATGGGTCCCAAGGGACCAAAAGGTGACTCCGGCGGACGAGAAGGGGTAAGTGCCAAAAGTCGATGTCAAGTATACGCCCCTGTCTGGCCAGAGAATGGTGATGGATCACCAAAAGGGCTACCGAGATACTGACTTGTGAAACGTGTTCGCAGGTCAAGGGTGACAAAGGCGACCGAGGTCAGGATGGTCGTGATGGCTTGCCAGGACCTCCTGGATTGCCCTCTACCGGAGGAGGGGATGGTGACAGCAGCGGAGTACAGTACATACCCATGCCAGGACCACCAGGACCTCCGGGACCACCAGGCCTCCCAGGTCTATCGATTTCAGGGCCCAAGGGAGAACCAGGCATGGACTCGAGAAGCTCCTTCTTTGGCGATGCATCCTACTACGGGCGACCAGGTGAGATAATCCTGAAACAAAATATCCCTTCAAATCTGTTGTATATATGTGAGATGTGAGCTTAGTTAGTGGTCAATATCTGTACATAGTTAGCATTATCCTTTGCCCAAGAGCCAAACCTAACTTATCCAACCGATATCAATCCATGTCATTTGTATCGTACTCGTCCTCAAGGAGCGCGCTCATCCTTGGACGAACTCAAAGCACTGCGAGAACTGCAAGATCTGCGCGATCGTCCCGATGGCACAGCCGGTAATCGAACTAACTAAAATCTACAATCTCAACTCCATTCATACCATATTAGCTGTACTTGTAGTCCTACCTTTACGGAATGTTGCATGACTTCCACGTTGGAGCTGCTAATTGCCTTCAGTTCCCAAAACACACCTTTCCATTCCCATCAACCATTTTCACCGGCATGCCTTCACATAGCCAGCCAGCCATTCATGAACTATGTTAGCTCCTTTTCAATGGGGAAAGTGAGTTTTCCTCATATTTGCACATCATCATTAACTCATTTGCCGTTGATAGAGTACAACGTGTAAACATTTTCTTTATGCGCGTATTTTCACACCGTCATGACTTTTCCCCCGCCAAATATATAAAGAAAAAGGAAAACCCACAACTCATGGCTTCACACATATTGATATTACATTTTCAGTTACCAGTTTGGCCAGTTTTTGACTTTTTCAGTCAGTTTAGAGAGGGCGGTGAATGTGCAGATTAAATATTAAGTTAAACTTTTAAGGCACAAATATAAATTTATTTTGTCTTCTTTTAGTAATGAATTAAATGACACAAAATTTACATTGCATGAACTCTGGGTTATAATTAGAAAAGTACAAATGATATACAATACATAGAATTGAATATTATTGAAATTTATATTATTAAAAATTCAAAAAGATTTTAGTAACCGAATTTTATAATATTCTTGTAAAAGAAACGACCAAAAATACACACAGAAAATAATAAATAAGAATTTATATTCCCTCACTGTTTGTGATTTAGCACTTTGAAAACAAGAATTGAAGTAAATGCAGGATTTTGAATTATATGTCATAATGCATGAATTATCCTTTCCAGAGCCACCACGCCAGCCAGGACATTCACACAAACATGAAGACACCCTGGGGCTGGTTGATGGCGAGGAGCCTTACTTTTCGGCATCCTCATCGAACATGAACATGAAGATTGTGCCCGGCGCAGTCACCTTCCAGAACATCGATGAAATGACAAAAGTGGGTGTCGATTGGTTAAATTTGGCAACTGCCATGTATTTTTAAACTCTTTTTTTGGTTTGATATTTTCCGCAGAAATCGGCCCTCAATCCACCGGGCACATTGGCCTATATCACCGAAGAGGAGGCGCTTTTGGTTCGCGTCAACAAGGGCTGGCAGTATATTGCGGTGAGTTTGGGCCAAATCCTTTTCGTTTTTTTTTTCGTTCAGTTTGGTTTGGTTTGAGGGCCAGGATTTGATTTCTGGCTCCTAAGCAAACAGAGGGAGGGTTTTTTTCTTTTGGGTAGCACTTTTAAAATGCCAAATATGACAGGCGCTGGCGGGTGGCTATTATTTTATGGATCCCGCTCCGTCGTCCTCTGTTGTTCCATTATGGATATAAGCTTCTCCGGAAAAATGCATGCGAAAATAGAAAAGACAGGCGTGTGGGATTGTCTTCCTCTGCTCTTGGCCATATTTATTTATTTATTTTTTTCTTGCCTGCCATAAAGTAAGGTTTGTTTGGCATTGCCCTTGTATCGACTCGTTTTTTATTTGCACATTAAATGTTGCAGACGTACAGACTGATTGCCATTGGATTCCCCCCCGTAACATGTTAGAATTTGTATGTGTATCTGCGTTATTCAATTATATTGACTTGCGCTTGGCTTTTCACTTGTCCTCCTCCTCCTGGTTAACGGCTGCAAGGAGATACCAGAGACATGTGGCATGTGGCATGTGGCAGGCAATTTGAGTCAGACAGTCCGTCAGTCAGTCAGTGAGTCGGAGGTTCAAAACATTTATTGATGGAATATAAAACATGCATCAGTTGATCTGGTTTGGGGGGGATAAGTAGGCTGGACCCTCCTTGGAGCCATAAATTCCTTTGCCAGATTAAAAATAATATTAAACGAAAATCGAAGATTTTTTATTGTCCTTCCCTGGACAATCCACATGCCAATTAATCTCGCTCACCTCAGTTCAAGGGGAAATTGTGCGCCTTGTGGGAACCTTTTATTACCCGATTTTCATCCTGGCAATTTGCTGGGCTCAGCATTTTTAGGAGCTCTCTCTGAAGTTGGCCAAATTACACGCAGAATTGGTCGATTTCTCAATAGCCTGTTAAACATTAAAGTGGTCACAATTTCGGCTGCTTGTTGCGTTATTGAAGTCATCAAAAAATTGAAAAATGAAAGCCAAGCGAAGGGAAACTAGTGCCTCAGCCAAAGTGTACAAATTCTCAGAATTTGGTAGCTGCAAAATGAAAAAAAAAAACTGCTCGAGATTCGATTTCCGCTTCCGTTGTTGCAGGGCACAAAAGCCAGCACAGCAGGGTTGTGCCTGGTGGGCGTGGAGCCAGCTTCGGGCCGCCTGGCTCCAGATCCTGGATCCTGGCAACTGGCATGTGCATAAGGCAGCCCGGAATGAAAACGAAATCTCTTGCCTTTGACGGCAGCATTTAAATACTTTTGACAACAAAACCCGGCACAGGACCATGAACTGTCAGGGCGCGACGAGTAATATGGCAAAATCGGGCCAAAGCAAAAGGACCCTTTGTTGGCAAAATCTCAACAAGTCGGGGAGTCAGGAAGTCAGGCTACACTGAAATAAAATATTACATAATATTATTGCCATTAAAAATTTGTTTCTGTTTTTCTTAACTACAAGCGAGTCAGTATGACTAATTGGGTAACGAGGGGCACTAAAATTCAGAAATGCCAACTCCCTTGTAGGCGTCGCAATGAGCGTGCTGCTCTCTTCTAGTGTCAAAAACAAACTGTTCTTTATTTATTTTATCTGAGCCTTTTGCTGATCTTTCGAATGGGACACACATAGTGTTCGTTCAACAGATCTTTCTGAATGAGTAAGGGAGAGGAAAACATTTTGTGCTTACAACTCAGTGTGTATAGATAAGTATAACTGTTTATAACATATGTTAGTGTGGCCGCTTGCTAAAACAGCGTTAATCCTTCGTAATCATGTCACTTTTCATATTTAATCTAAGAACCTGCAGAAGTTTATATTTTACATAAAGCTTGTATTGCAAGTTAACTTTATTATTTTTCCAGTGTTTTAGGGTTCCCATTTGCATTTCGCATTCGTCTGGGCAAAATACACAGCTGTCTGCCGAGATACCGAGATGGTAGCCGAGGCGGCAGCCTAATTAGATTTCAGTACACGAGTCGACTACTTAAAGTTCAAAATAGTAATTAAAACTTTTGTCAGACGCCGTCGCGCATTATGGCTGTCGAAAATTTGACCCTAATATAGTCGCAGAAAAGCTTGGAGACGGAATTGAGGCTCCTGGTCTTTGGGATTCCGATAAAGACTGAGGACAGTTTCGCTACATACAAATATACATACATACATATATTTTCCTACACGTAATGCAAATATTTGAGGAAAAGTTTCAATACAACGCTGATTTCATCATCGCATAACGGGTGGAGTGCCGCTCGGTGCTGTTTGCCTTCTGTTCCTGCTGAAATATTAACTACTTGAAAGGGTCTCTTGTCGAGCATATTTGCACAGAGCTCTTGTTTTATTAATTACAAATTCGTCAAACGCTTGTTTGTCTCCGCGCCTTTTAATTACGATTCCACATTTAATTCTCCCTTTGTGTATCTCCATCTGCAGCTGGGTACCCTGGTCCCGATAGCCACGCCCGCTCCGCCCACAACGGTGGCTCCTTCGATGCGATTCGATCTGCAGTCGAAGAACCTGCTCAACAGTCCACCGCCCCTGCTCAATACGCCAACGGTGAGTGATGGAAAATTGTCATTATTTTCTTCATTTTTTTCATTTTTTCTATTTTTTTTTTTATTTTTGCACTTTGTATTTTCCACATCTACTCGCATCGTATCTGTCGGTGGGATAATGACATTGATGAGGAGGAAAATTAAGAGCGTTTCGAATGGAAATCAGAAGTCCTAGTTGGGATTCCCTTTGTGTGTATTAATTGTACTCGACTTTGATGATTTCAAAATGAATTATTTATAAATCGAAAAGCTCTGACATTGATGTTCCCGTTTGTATGTCATTTCCCGCCGGCAGTGCCTAACAGAAACCACTACTAACAGTAGAGCTGGCTGATTATTCGATGATATATCGATTTTAAATGATATTTATAAAGAAATATGAAATTTTACTATCAATAATTTGTCAGCTCTTACACTTTGTTAACTATCACTGCTATTTTTATCCAAGATTACACGACAAATTTACACACTACTTGTTCCTAATTTCTCAATTTAAACTCAGTGAAACGAACTGAAACTGAAGCCAATGCTATCGATATAACCTACTAAACTTATTTATAATTAATTGTCGTTAAATGCAGTTTACAACCGCGCCCGAATACGAAACGGTAATTAAATCCATAATATCGCATATCGTAGTGTCGACTAAAACATAAAAAAATAACAAAAACGAACGGTAAAATAGCCAACGATTCTTGCACACACTCGTTGAATAAATAATTTGATTTTGTTTGCTGGCCAATGAAAATATTTCTAATTAGCGAAAATTGCATTCGAAGTTCTGTTAAACACGGAACAATTGGTGTAGTCTGATTTCCTGCTTTTGTCTGTATCCGTTGATGGTTTTATATTTTCATTAAACCGATGGGAAATCTGATCTTTTGCCTAGCTAAATAAGTTATATGTTTTCTGTGTTTTTCTGTGTCATTTTGCTTTATTTAATAACTAGACGCTTCTTGATTGAATTTTGTCCTTTTGCTTTTGGTTAATCCATGAAGCTTAGTTCTCAACGATTCGCATCCCACACGAAAGTCAAGAACGTTGAGGGCTCCTTTTGTTTTCTGTGTGTCTCTCGGTGTTAGAATGTGCTCAGAATTTCCATTTAGATTTATTAAAATACAAATATTTTTGTCCCACATCCAATGGCTGCGTCTTCAAACGAAATTAACGGATTTGAAAATAAAATCAAATTATAATCGCATTTCCAGTGGTATCCGCGAATGGTGAGTCACCCATCCTTGTGCCTTGTCCCCTTCAATTAAGCTAGAGATCCGACCTTTGAGCTCCTGCCACCCACATCTCTTTATATTTTTACATTATGAGTGCTGTGTTTTTTTTTGCCCTGCAGGATGTTCTTGGCATTTTTTTTTCTGTCTATTATTGTTTCCTTAGAGCTCCGGCAATTATTTGAAATATTTTACTATCCATTACTCCTACCTATCATTTCTGTTATAGTCCCCCCAGGGTTTGCGCTTGCCCTTCTCATTCAGCTGGCGACCTTTGTTAAACAAACAATTCCTGGCTATTAAATTCTGTATTAATTAGATCTTAAAATGCTTGACATAAATTCCGCATTAATTTCATGCCATATTTTCTTGGATACGGAATAGCTTCGCGTGGCCGCGCTCAACGAGCCCTCCACCGGCGATTTGCAGGGAATTCGAGGGGCGGACTTTGCCTGCTATCGGCAAGGACGACGGGCCGGCCTCCTGGGCACCTTCAAGGCATTCCTCTCATCCAGGTAAGTACACAGTACTTGATTCCTCGGCGAGTGTGTCTTATCTTTCTTAAGATTTTTTCACGCGTATTAGGCCGGTTTTCCTGTTTAGTTTTTCCCAACTCAGGCTATTAAGATTTTCCCACAAATCCAGTCCAGAGCATTTTTCTGCTTCAATGCTTGGCGTTGCTCATACGCCACGTTTCCCGGCTGAGCCGACACTTTGGGAACTCATTAGTTGCCGCATAATCTTGATATTTGAAGCGGAGCAAAAGCGAAAAAAGCGCGCGCTACGCTCCAAGTATGAAAACAAAAGCTTGTGAAAACAATTTCGTGCAATTTATTTACCCAGGCTTCCGGCAACCAGGGGTCTGAGTTGGAGTTCTTTGCCGAGTTTCGGGTTTTCCGAAGGGCGGGGGCCGTGCAAAAAACATAAATAAATGAACGAACGAACAAAGAGCTGGCAAGGAGCAGCACCTGCCCTTCAGACATCTTTTGATGGCAGTTTGTTTGTTCGCGTGTAATTGCCGCTCGTATGCGCTGGCAATAACTTGTACATAAACGAAATGCTTAACTCTCGTCCGCAGGGTACAGAATCTGGACACGATTGTTCGTCCGGCTGACCGGGATCTGCCCGTAGTGAATACCCGTGGCGATGTGCTCTTCAACTCATGGAAGGGCATATTCAATGGTCAAGGTGGCTTCTTCTCGCAGGCGCCGCGAATCTACAGCTTCAGTGGCAAGAATGTGATGACGGATTCATCATGGTAAGATTGCTATTAATTCTTTAAAAATTCCTTATTTAAATCGTAATACTTTAATCCTATTTTAGGCCCATGAAAATGGTCTGGCATGGTTCGCTGCCAAATGGTGAGCGCTCCATGGACACCTACTGCGATGCCTGGCATTCAGGTGACCATTTGAAATCTGGCTATGCCAGCAATCTGGACGGTCATAAGCTGCTCGAACAGAAGCGCCAGTCCTGCGACAGCAAGCTGATCATCCTTTGCGTTGAGGCCCTGTCGCAGGATCGCAAACGCAAGAAGCGGGAAATCGGCGGCAGTAGGTATGTACTTACACGTGTCTTATTGATTTGGCATTAAGCTTTTTTATTACTTGCCAAGTTTGCTCATTACCTCTGATGGCCACAAGCACTTGTACAGAGGGAGAAAATGTTTCTTATTCGATTTTGAATATGTTTAGTTTTTGAAACTGATTTAGGTCTTTAAATTTATATATTTTTATTTAAGACAATGGAGTAGGCATATTGTTAATAAATTCTTAATATTTTCACTGCATTTTGTCCTTTTTCACAGCTACGGCAACAGTCACAGTCACGGCGAGAGCGAAAGTCTGGAGTTCAACACAGCCGAGGAGTATGCAGCGCATTTAGAAAATTTACTGCTGTAAGCGGAACCGGAAGGAAGAAAAAGCGAGTCACACCAAACCATTCTCATACACAAAAACAAAACAAATCACAGCACACACTCACACACACGTACATACATTGAATGTAAACGTAAATCATGGCCATGCATATAATCAGCGAATTCCAAACAAAAACCAAAAAGCGAATACTCAGACGACAGATGGATGTTGCATATAAATACATACTTATATTACCCATACGCATACACACACTAACTATATCGTAGGTAATGTCTAATGTATTTCCACGCGTATATCATAAACACAAATAGATATGATATATATATATATATATATCATGGATATATATATATGTATGAGTTGTACTTTATGTTCAGGAAAAGGCATCGGCAAACAGCAATTTTTGTACAAGCAGGAAAACGTATTCGTAGTTTGTAATCTGTAATTTGTAACTTACCGTTAGCCGTAACCGAAGTAATGTAATTTTTGTAATTACGTAAGCTTACCCCGGAAATAGCAGCGGAACACACGGTCGCCTCTGCCTACGCATTACTGGCCAAATTAGTATCCTACTTATATAGCTCGTATGGCAAAATGCACCCGAAACGAGTATCGAGATGCGAGGACTCTTCACAGGACCCTGTATATGCGTGTATAAATGTGTATTTTTGTCAAAAAGACTTCTAGGTGTGTGTAAATTATAAGAAAACGATACGAAAAACGTTTTTAAACTATCGCATGCAGCCCTTTCTGCCCACTCTATATATATGATATATATATATAATTAAATAAAATATATATAGGATATATGTTTTACGACCGATTTCTACTCCTATCGTAGACCAGAGATTTTCTACAGCGTAGCCCGCGCGATTCCCCAGAATACTCGTAATCGATATCCACATTCGGATCGCAGTTTTTATATGCATCATGATGAGTAAAGATAATGAAATTATAGCATAATCCACACACACACAGAGAGACACACACGTACGAGCAAACACACCTAATACATGCACATCCATGGATGGTAAATTCGTAATTTATTGTCATTCGATAACGAATACTTAACTAAATTCTAATTATAATTACCGAGCATAGTTAGTTACATAATAATTTCTTTTTGCATTTAACCAAATGCATTTCCAACTACAAATTTTGTAATGTAATTAAACGTAATTGTAATGACAGTTAAGGTATTAATTTAAAACAATAAACCACAAAATGCAGAACACAAAGCGAACGGCGCGGTAGCCAGCCGCAAGGTGACATTATATAGTACGATTAAAGTAATATATATATATATATATAAATAAATATATATTTAGTGAAATCAAAACTGAAGTGCAGAACCCTCTAGTCGTAAGCCTAAAACATGAAGAAAAGAAAAGAGCGCATAACAGAGAGATACATAATAGCGTAATATGATTGAATAATAAAAAACAATAAAAACTAAACTATCAAATGCAAATAAAAGTCTTATTATTTGAAAAGTGCCTTGCAGATTGCAATCTATTTAAAGTGGATAGTTAAAAACTTGACTGCAATCATGGCAAATTGGTTTCGGTTGTTTTGACCTTAAAATATTAATATCCATAAACACGCATCGAAATTTCACTTGGCATATTCACAAATCCCTCATGGATATTCTGCGCTGTCCATCTGCATTGGAAATATTTTATGTGGCTCATACATTTTTCACTAAATAAAAAAAAATATTACAAATTCATCTGCCTGGGCAAATGGCAAGAAATTACTGTGATCAATATTTTCCATTTAAGTTGGAATCAATTTTCATTTGTATTTCCATTCCGCAGCCCAGCAACAAAAGGTATTTGCATGAAGGGAAGAAAAACAAATGCGGATGTCTATAGCACGTTTACCTGTATCTGTATTTTTTGTGAATCTGTATGGGAAGCTAAACCTATATCTATATCTGTTGCCCAATTGATGCCTGTCTGAGCCGCACGTTTGATAACCAATTTAAATAATTTTTCACTTGAATTAAAGCAAATGATTTCGAACAAAGAGAGCCACGAGCTCTGCGGGGCCATTGATGCTTTATGAATTTCAATGGCGGGCCAACATAGTTTCCGGATGCGGATTTCGTCTCGAGTCAGAAAACTCCAACAGATTCAGAGATTCAGATACTTTGGCATGGGGGTATACATATCTGGCTGCTGTCAGGCAGGCAAATAAACAAACAGAGCGAGCCAAGAAGCCGCCGAGTTGGCAACAGTTGCGATTCCGTTTGGGATTGGGACTGCCAGCCTCAATTGTGATGGAAACCGCAATATTATGAGGGAATTTGGTGGAGGGAACTTCTGTGGGAATGGCCGCCACTTAGGCACAAAGCAATCAAGCCAGATGAGCGGGATGAAATTTTAATTTAATGAATGAATCCGGATCTGTTGTACGAGTATTAGTTGATTAGCTGCGAAGCCAAATCAAATTCCAGTACCCACCGCCAAGGAGAACCATTCAAACTCGTAACAAGTATTTTGAGTTTTCAATTATAAGCCTTGCTCGAGGTCTCAGGCCAGAAAAGTTTAAATTCCGTGTGCGGCTGACAATGTCATTCATCATAACACATTTAGCCGTGAGCTTATTAGATTCCACTTTAGTGCCCAAGCGCATTTACAAGTTTTCCAAGCTTGTTTTCCAGCTTCTTACTTTTTTCTTCATTGCTGCTCCATTTTCCTTTTTTTTTTTTATCATTGAAAGAGAGAAGAAAAACCCAAAACAACTTTCCCACAAACACACATACGAGGTTGGCATCCGTAACAAGTTTCCACAAACACACACACACACACAGTTACACCCACTCGCAAGGGCGTACATATGTCACGAGTGAAAACAATTTATCATTTAGCTTATCAAGACGCGCGGCCTAACGTCCATTATTTTGCGGACGCTACACAGAGAATTGTTTTTTGATGATAGAACCCCCCCCAAGATGTAGTAGTTCTTTTGGGCTGGGAAGAGGGTGTTATGTGGGCGTTAGGTGTGCGAAACACACAAATGTCTGAGAAATGATTATTGTTATGCCCGCATGTGATTTACAATCTATCATAGCCATTGGGAATTTCGAATTACGCAGAATTATGAATGGGTTCCAATCAAAACAGATGGTCTAGTCTACTTCACTGAATGAGTTCTAGTGTTTCCCATTAGAAAACAGAAATGGAAATGTGCAGACTTGGGAGAACCAAAAAATAATATCCTTGATTATATTTTTGGTAAATTGCAAATGAAATTCCGTAACCTTCACCGCAGGCAGACAATTATTTATAAACATTTTCTAGGTATAATGAAGATCTTATATTGCAACCGAAGGAATGTATAATTTTTAATGACATTATTTAATTTTAAATCACCGAAATGATGGCCTCACCCAAGACAGACAATTACGGCTAACAAATGACATGTATGAATATGCCTTTGATGGGGATAAGAGGGGTTAAGAGGTGGGGTGGACCGTTCGGCCGGCTCACGTGTAACTAAAAACCAACAATTATGCATGCCAAACCTCAGAAACCGATGCCACGCCCACAGCCCACATAGCAGAGCCCTCGCGACGTCAACATAGCGGCGACAGCGACAACGGAATCGGAATTTGCATAACTTTGTATGAGATTCTTGCAGCGCAGAGCCATGTCGAGCCACAATATCATTCATACATGCATGCAGCTCACAATCATGTGCACTGGAAAAAACAGGAATATTATTTGCTCTAAGAAGCACAACAGAGTTCCTTTCTGATTAAAAGTCAGCGAGTTTCAAGTTCCTAAGCTCCTAAGTTAACTTTTGAAAATATTTTCTAAAAGCTATAATAAGCATACGAATTTTTCTTAGTGCACCTATACAGCAGGGCACGTATACACTGGCAGACAATGTCAGTGAGCCGTCAACATTTCAACTTGTCATGCAAGCGGGAAAGCGTGGAAAGTGATGGTGCGGGTAGTCGGAGTGCAAAAAAGGTGGGCGGGTCGGGTCGTACCGTAAAGTCGAAGACGTTGCCCCGGGCTGCTACATGGCCTACCTTCAATTTGTCCGTGTGCTCCGCCATCCGATAACCACGGAAAATACATAGAACCCGTGGCCCGGCTAAGGCAGAGGCACAAACCCAAAGCCCAAGCCCAAGCCCAAGCCCAACCACAACAGCAGCAGCTTTTGTTGCATACTTTGCTGCGTTGCCGGCAACGTATTATTTCAGTTACGTTTTGCGGAAATGCAACTGAAAACTTGCAATTTGTTTGACGTTTCGGTATTTTTTCGTATGAATTTATAATGCCCTCGACTTCAACACCTGTCGTTTGCCGTTCGTTTTGTTTGTTTGTTTGTATTCGTTCTCGTACTTGTTTGGTTTGCCAGGAGTTTGGTTTCTGGTTTGTTGCTGATTTATAATGCAGGCGATCCTCCTCGGTTCGGCCCTGTGGTTTATTGATATATCAACGGCATCGTGATTAGGCAGAAAGTCAGGAAATATATAAGCCCACGTTCACTGAGAATGTGTACACACATGCGTATTTATGTTATGCCGCCGCAGTAACACACAAAAGGTAGCAACTTTTAATTGAAAAACTTGGGCACTTACAACTTGCAAGGAAGCGGTGGTGACTGCGCCCTCCTCTCTCTTACTCCCTCGATGCCACTCTATTAGCAGTTGCAGGCGTAGGTGTAGGCGTGGCAGAGTGGCAAGTGGCAATACTGGCATTGTCGCCGGCATTACTCAAGTTGTTAGCAATGTTTACAAACACAATAAGCAAATACGCCAGCGATAGCGGGCTCAACAACAAGTCCACTGAGACCAAAATCTAGTTCAAATTAATCTTATAAAAGTGGTAAAAAAGCATTTAAAAAATAAGCAAATTAACTAATTGGTCAGGAAATATTGATCGTGTGATCCAGAAAAATTAACAAAAATCTTTTGACTTTCTAAATTGAAAACTATAAACTTTTTCCAGTGACTCTCTCTCTCTGTTGCTAGTGAACAGGTTTAGTTGACTTAAAGACGACATCGTCAACACGACTTCTGTTTACATAGAAAGTTTTTCCGCTCTCCGTTTCTTTTGGCTCGGCCGACTGATAGTTAAACAGCGCTAAGCAAAGTCTGGCTGGGAAACGTGCGATAAGTTTTCCATTTTGCTTCTGGGCAAATATTTACTACCACGGCAATCGGTATTTACCTCGGGGCTGCAGGTGCAATGGCCATGACAGCGCTTAGCCATCTTGCCACTAATTAAACTAACTAGGATCATCGAAATAAAACAATCAAATCGAAATGCTAAAATGCTTAACTTTTAATTAGCAGTCGAGTAGGAGAGAGACCCAGCCCAGCGACCAAAATACATAATTAAAATTATGATTTGGCTTTTTGGGAACTAATCTATTTTGGCCGAAATGTAATTGGCAGACGAAAATTTCATATGCAAATTGTATTAGGTATCAGGGGAGGTTCATTTCCCGGTGTCCAAAATGGCCAGTTTCTGGGGTTTCGCCAGCGACCACCCAACTCGTAGCGATTATCGGCGGTGGCAGGCTGCAGTTCCAGCTGGTTGAAACAATCCACTTGCATAAGCAAGGTACTGGTAACGCGCCTCCCTAGTGTCCCCTGCCAAATGCCACACGGCAGAGGCTTTCGCATCGGGATATCGGTATATCATGCAAACCATAAGCCTATTAATAGCCCCTGTCTGCGATCAGACAAGCAATTAAAATTGACTGCACTTTTGAGCGGATGCCCTCCAGCCACATCGGCCATCTCCTTTCACCCCTTCCACCCCCATTTTCCTCACTTTCCCAGGAAAATTGTTCAATTGGGCGTAAATGTGTCGGCGTCATCGCCACGTGCACGTGCTTCCCGTACTTTTCCAGGCCGGCAACTGGCAATTATTTAGGACCAGGCCGACGCGTTGGCAAAACATAAATTTTTACCCAGCATATGTCTTGTAATTTTGGGTCAATGTGTGGCAGATTGTTGTTGTCATCTGACAGGATGGAGTTTGATTTGTTGTTTCGGAATATGAGAAAGGATGTGCTGTCACATCAAGTATACGCAAAGTGTGACGTCTACCACATTTGAGAAAGCTGTTGTTATTCAGGTAACTAAATCCTTTATGCCTCTTATAACAACAATATTCTTAGTAAAGGACGTCTCTGCAAAAGAAATGCATTTTCAAATATAAACTGAAAGCTTTAAAAGTTTTGTAAACCGAAAAGTCATCTTTTCCGAGTCGTGAACCATAACTAGACTTTTAGCTTTAAAATGGCAAATACTATTTGTTTGCAAATCAAAGCTTTTGAGATTCCAACTTTTACAACCTTTTCAAGCTTTGGATTCATAGGGAACCTTAAATATATTTAATAAAAATCGTAAATAATGCTTTGCAGGAAATTGTTTTTGATATCAAGCATTATTCTATAAATTAAAAAGTCATTCTTTGTTGATTTCAACTTGATCTGATTTTAATAACTAATCTGGGAACCACTAGTTCCGAGTGAACTATGTTTCGCAGCACTATGGAACTTGAAGCCTTCAGAAAAGTTGAGCTTCGGTGAAAGTTTCTTCCTTACAAAGCTTAAAAGCTGCAAGGATAACTGATTTCTGATCCCAAAGCTATTTTTCCCAACCTTCAACGAAAAGTTCCCCGTTTTAAGTTATGTTTTAAATTTTATTTAATCATTATTCAATCGTTTGCAATATACATAATATGTAAATAAATAATGCAAATCCAAAGCATTAAAAAGTTAGCTTTCATGGTTAACCGTAAATCAATTTAACTTCGTCGGATAAAACCCCCAAATCTTGGGTTTTATCCTCATTTTAATTTATATTTATTTATATTCGTGCACTTTGGCCCAACGCGAATTTTGTAAATATTTGCACTTTGTTTTTTTGGTTTTTAGTTTTAAGTTGTACATTAACGATAATTGCCTAAAATATGCTTGAAATCTCAATAACTTGTTAGTTAATACATTGGGTTAGCTGGTAGTTAGTATAGCTAGAGTAATCATTTGGTCTTGGTTCCATTTCGCGATGAAACGCATATGTTCTGTAATTCCATTATCGATAATACTTGATAAATGTTAAACTCGCGAAAATTGTTGCTGTTGCTTAGTTTAGACTGAAACTCGAATTTGCTAAACTTACGGAGCTGTTCTCGATTGGAAATCCGTCTTACTAGAATGTTAATCTCAGATATCGAATCGAGAACAGATCTGATAAATTCGGTTTAACGCTAGAAGTGTGTGTTTATCCTATAAGTTATATCCATATCCATAGTTAACCATAGTTGGGCTTAGATTCGCTTAGATCGGTGTACAAGTGTTACAGTAGAGTTAGTTGTTATGTTAAGTTGGTCAAGATTCCCTTTCAATAGTTTTGATTCGGTGTATTTCGGTTCCAGTTTTGGCTGATATGCAATCTTTCGAAAGGTATTTTTGTTAGTAGTTTGTAGTTTGTAGTTTGTGGATTGAGTAGAGTGTGTGCCTTAACAGAACGACTTACTAATGGTCAAATATTTCAAATTGTTCAACAATCAACGATAACATTAAAGAAGCTGAATGTAAATTCATGTAAATTCAATTGGTTAAATCTATAAATTAAATTTGAATAACAATTACGGTTCCCGCAATTCCGAATACGTTTTAACATTATTGTCCTCTGCGTTTTGGTTTAAGTTTTTCTCTGTTTTAAGTTTCTCTTTGTGAGTGTGCGTCGAGTAAATGTGCAATTACAACGATTAGAATAATAAATACAATTAAATAGAAATCGAATAATAAAAATAGGAAAATGAAGAGGAAAAACTGAGCATCAAGTGCATAGGAATATTCAGTTTGGACATTGGGCAGGCGGCAGAGGTGGTGAGTGGGTGCTTCTGTTTCGGTTTGCAAATGCAAAAATCGCTTCAGATTTTAATTATGAAACAAGTACATTTCGCGCGGTTTCTGTTTTGCCTTTGTCCAGAGATGGCGAGAGAGTGCTAAATGCATAATTAATTAATAGTTTCAACACACTTGCCGCGTCCTGACTAAACGAGTATTTACACTATAATATCGAAATCACCCAAACGCTGCGTTTATAATTAGTTACTGCTGCTGCTGCTGCTGCTGCTCCATTTGCGGGGATTACCCTGATATCCCTGAAGGATCCGCTCATCACTACTATCACACTGCCCTGGCTAAAGTCTACATCAGGGCGCAGCGGTTCCAACGCGAGGGATTTCTCACTCCCTCACCCTCATTCAAAGCCATGGTCTTGGATCTCATCAGATTGAGATCGGTGCGAATGCTGGGTCGCCGGGCATTCGGGGTCACTACCCCGCAGGCATCGCTAAATCTCCGCTTAATGGACAGTGCATTCTTCTTGGTCCCGCCCACCGCGGATCCATGAGGTGGGAGTGGCGAGGGTGCTCCAAACACTGAGACCAACCGACGATGATGGTTCGGGGTCATCTCCAGCGGCAGATTGGAGACCGTGAACAGGGAGTGGAAGAGGTCATCGATGCGGTAGTTCTGACGAGCCGAGCACTCCACAAAGGTGCAGCAGTTGTCCTGGCCAGCAATGTAGCCCATCACCTCGTCCACCTGGACAGTTCTGGAGGAAAAAATCAGCATTAGATTTGGTACTTATAACTTTTCCTAATCACCATCACTTACTTAAAGTCTCGATCACATTTATTTCCTGCCAATATCATGGGTATCTTCGGAAGACTCTTCTTCTTGAAGCCAGAGCCTGGATTCAGGGCAGCCCACTTGGTCTCCAGGATATTCTCCCGCAGGCGTACCACCTCTTCGAAGGACTCTCGGGAATCCATGCTGAAAACAAGGATGAAGAGATCCCCTGGAAAACGCCAACGAAAACCATAAAGGGGAACATTAATCGTCGTTTGATTTAGCAAATGCAAATTTATTGCTTATTTATGGCCCCGCATCTATGACCTACGCACTGGCAATTTTCCAGACACTATATAAAACGCTCCTGACATCTGAAGCTCATCTTCGCTGTGTTAATGTGTTTGGGATTGTGTGTGAGGGCTCTGGGTTGTTTAGGATAATTCGGATAGCCAAAAATCCGGGTATGGGAAAATCAATAGCCGCATGCCACTGATACATGAATACCCTGCTTATTATTTGGCATTCATATATATTTATACTTCTGAAGTTTTCGGTAAGGCGTGACTTAACAATAAATAAAACATTTTTATTGAGACCAAAACGAATTCATAAAAATCTTTTTCTATATTTAGCTGGTCGTCAGGTAAATAATAGTTAAAAAGTCTGACTTCTTAGTGCTGAAATACATTAATTTCGTTCCTTATCTGAACATTCCTTAATAAAATATGCACAACTATCAACTAATTTATGTAAAGTTAGTTTCAAGGTCCTTTCAGCTAATTACATGTCCTGGTCTCGTAGTTCAAATATTAACGACACCCTTGATGGCCAAGGAAAGTTACCGAAAATTACCCCCATGCCGCGATATCGTTTCAAAAGGGTATAGAACCCAACTTTGTTTACCAGCAGCTGAGCCTGATTTTTATGATAATTTATAGGACATTAAATGGCACCCAATGACGGCAATGTCGACAACTTAAGTGATAGAACGTGCGTTTCCAACGATTGCCGCATATCCTTGGAATGCCGCACACACACATGCAACTATTTTCGATAGCCAAGACGTCGCACTCACCAGTTAGAAATGATAAACGACGCATTGCGGGAAACGGATGATAGCCAGAAGTATCCAAAATATCCAATTGAAAGACCTCATTCCGTATGCGATACAATTTGCGATGGAACTCCTCAATGGTCGGCGTATAGGCCTCCTCGAACCGATTGCCCAGGAAACGTGCCACAATCGATGACTTGCCGGCGCGTGATGAGCTGCATGGGAAGGAAAATTGCAAATCGAGATTGGATTTGAAATTGACGTTGTCCATTCAGTGAATGCGGAGAGACGCCAATGAAAGTTCAAAATTAACTCGAATGGGCGTCAGTTACTCGATGATTCTTACACTCAGCAAAATTGTGTTTCTTGGAAAATCCAAAATAAAACAAAAATCAAAATAATTTACCCAGGGTAAGAGTAAGAACCAATAATGAAGAAACTTCTAAACTAAAAAGAAATTACTTGACTATGCCTAAAAGTATGCAACTAAATTTGTTAAATCCAATTTATTTCAGTGCCCGTCCACAGGTCGTATACGTACCCGAGCATGACCAGCCGATAGCAGTTTTTGGCCGACGGCAGGCTGTCGTCGCAGAGCGATAGTCCTGCTCCTGGTCCATAGATAAAGTCATCCGCCTGCTCAATGGCGTCCAGATTCGAGTGGTGCTCCAGCATGTGGGCTTGGTGCAGTTCGGCGGTGGTGACCAGTCGGCTACTGGTCACGGCTCCGTTGCTACCGCTTGCAGTGGTTTCGTCCAGAAAGGTGACCACATGGGCCTGTGGCGGTGATGGTTCATCGGTCGAATGGGGGGCGGTTGGATGGGTGGAGGTTGGGTGGGTGGTGGCACTGGTAGCACCTCTATAGCCCACTGTCTGTTGATTGCTTTTGCTGCTGTTGCTTCTTACGTTATTGTTGTTGGTGGCGCTACTGTTGCGGCTATTTGGTGTTGTTGTGTGGATGGGTGGCGCCTCACTTAGTGCCACATCGACATAGTTGTTGTTGTTGCTGCGCGCACAAAACCAATTTTTGCAACGATACATTTTGACTGTGTCATTTCCGCCACTTTAACTGGTTGTTGTCGGCACCGCCGGTGGGTTAATTTGTGGTGTTGATGCACCGCTTTTGTTTTTTGTTTTTCTTGTTACTTTTGTTGTTGTTTAGCTCGACAACGAGCACCGAAGCAAGTCAGTGGCGTTTGCAATTTGCATTTTCAATCATTCAACTTTGTCGTTAACAAGCTGACATTTGCATATGTACCTCACGCCGCCTTAATGGTATAAACTTTATCCCCACGACAAATGCATTAGCAGCCGCGCTTTCTCCGCAGGAAAACTGCAAGGAAAAGATGTAAGAGATGTAGTTGCAAAAAATGCATTCAGCTCGTAAATATATATAAAAAAAAAAGTTACGCCATCTGCTCAAAGAAGCAGGAGATGGGAAAAAGTTGAAGTCTGGTCGTGGAGGGGAGAAGGAGGGTGGTAAACATTTTGGAGGCCATTAAGCACGGTAATTGCCCCGGGCCCATCCAAACGAATAAACCAGAGAAAACCCCATAGTGAAAAATAAGAGGAAAATGCAACCGGAAAACGAATCCTCGACTTCTACATACCCGTCACCCAAAAACCAGATTATCTTCAGTTGGGAAAAAGTATTCTTCTTCCTACCTAAATGCAAACATAATCCGATTGTTAGCGAATTTACTTTACATTTTTACCACTTTGTTGCTCAACTGCAGTTGCCAGAAATTTAGTGAACTTTGTGATTTTAACTACCTTAAGCCAGATAGATACGAACTTTGTGGGGCTTCTTCAGAAACAGTTTTGCAAATCGAAATCGTAAGTAAACTTAAGCTGCCTTCGTGGCCAAATTGATGTTGGCCTAAAAATACAAAATTTTGTGGTTTTAATTTAATCCCAAAGCAGGCAATGAAAATCGGCTTAAAAATGAAAAAATCGAACAATTCCAAATTAAAATCAATCATAAAGAGATTATTTTTTTGAAACGTTCTTAAGCAAATTGCTTTTTAAAAATCTAAAATCAGTTTTATCTATATTTATATTAAATATTTTAAAATTGAAACCAATTTGATTAAAGGGAATTGAGAAAAGCATATAAAATTGAAATAAAATCAGCCAAATTACGACGTTCTTTACGTCAATCGCGTTAAATTGGCAAAACCCCAAGTTCAGCAGAGCCAATGAAAAGGAAATTTTGAAAAACCAGCTGCACTCTTAACATTAAAAGGGCTATTGCCTGACCCCCTCTCATTCAAAGAGCCATAATGGGCATCTTGCCGCAAATCTAATTAACTTTGTTTTAGCATGCTACGTGCTCCGTGTACATCAGCCGGAATGGCCACATTGGCTCAACTCATGCATATCGCATGCAGCGGCAGGACGAGGGGGAGGAAAATGCTGGACGGAAAGAGGAAGTCGGTGGCAAAATCAGACCGGAAAGAGCCGTTACCGTTACCGCCGAACGGCAGCTTGGCGCCCACCATAATCGAGTGCACCAAGTGCTCGTATTCGCGTTCAGATTTCAGCTCATTTTCCTTTCCCATTTTCCTGCACTTCTCTCTCAGATTTTTTGGTTTGACAGGGAGGGTTGAAAAAACAAGGCGGACGAGGGGCTTAAATGCCAGCTCACAAAAGGAATTCGAGTGGAAAATTTGCAAGAAAAGAATTCACCGCATATTATTGCACATACAAGGCGACACCCTCATCCAAATTCGAAATCGAGTTTCACTTCCAGTCCCAGTCCCCAGGCCGAATGAAAGCCATTTAGCCCAACTACTGGTAATTTTTCCATAATTGATTTTGGCTTGCGGTTTGGCTCGTCCTTTCACTGGCCATGTGTTTGTGGGGCAGGACCGTAACACCCTCTCCGCACACACACACAAATGCCTTTTTGCCTTGGCCGTAAGAGGAAAAACACACAGAAATGGCAACGGAAACGCCTTGAGACAATGGCGACATTTGCGAGGCAATGTGGAAATGGCTGCTGTACAAAAACAGAAAGAATAATCAACTAAGTGACGGAGCAGTTCTGTTATTTGCCGAGCACCTGTGCACGAGGTGTTCAGGGGCGTCCCCAAAGAAGGGGACATTCTTTTTATATGCTGAATATTATGCCTATTTAAAAAAAGGTTTTCTTACAGATAAAGAAACTACTTCCAATTGGGAATTAAAATACTAGCTTAACGAGGTATAACATTTTAAGCTTCGACCATTTTTTGCTTTGTTATCGACAAAATACTGAAGTTATAGGGCAAAAATGAGGAGGGCTCAATTTTTGTTAATTATAAGATACGTTAAATTAGAAAAAAAAAAATTTTTTTTAATAACTTTTCCAGGTTTTAATGCAGATATCATGGGGACTAAAATAAAAACTTATCGAGTTATTTCTTTCCGTATTCCGATCATTTTTGGCTTTGTTATCGAAAAAATACTGAAGTTTAACTTCAAAAAAAGTTTAAATGCAAAAATCTAAGCGGTCCAAATTTTTTCTTAATGAGAGACGTCGTGAAATTTTTGAAAAATCTTTTAAAAAATTAGTTATCATGGGGACTAATATACAAGCTTACCGAAGTATTAATTTTTCCGTATTACGAATTCCGACCATTTTTGGCTTTGCTATGGACCAGATACCGAGCTTGTAGGTAAAAAATCAGGATCAGTTTTCCACACATAGATTTGCGAATGATTTGATCGATGATTTTTAAAAAATAATATAAATAAAAACTAAATAAACAAAGATTTGTACTTTGGAATGCTTTGCACGGGCGAGCCCACACTTTGCTGTCGACAGATTACGATGGTCGTGAAGTAAGTTTGCGTATGACAAGTGTCACTTCAGGAGGGTCCTGAGCACGTCCCGTTCACACCCCTTTGAATGGCACCACCATCCCAGCTATTGGATCCAGCTCTCCACAAGCGCCTGCTGTTGTTTGCTGCCCCCACTTTCGTTCCAATTTCGCCGCAAGAGTCTCAACAATTTCTCATATTTGTTTACAATTCGCGCATACAAATGCGCAAGGTTATCAGCCAAACCACCCAACACCTCCCATTTGGCAAACATTGGCATCGGCATCCTCCGCCCCTTTTCAGTGGACGCCTGCCATAAGTTGTCATGTCGCAAATGGTAGCGGTGTGCAATCGACACCCAATCCAAGGGATACACCTTGAAAAATCGAACTTTAAATAAGAACCATAACAACCATAATCTTTAAGTTGTCTGTAAAAGAGATATATATATATCGAAGTCTTTGAGTTTCGGTATATATAAACCTTTTACGTCCTTAAAAGACCATTAAAGTGCTTTAAAAATAAATACAATTTTAATGACATGCACTAACCAAACTTTGAAAATACCGAAAACTTCCTAAAAATAACTTCCCCTAAATTAGTTTGTGGATTATTGCAGTGGCAGTGCACCATTATAAAAGTGTTTACAAACTAAACACAACGCTAAATTAAATTCATGCAACTTTTGTGAATGAAAACCACATGAATTTCGGTTTTTATTCAGGTGTACGACTGATGTTCGAGAGCTGAAGAAAAACTGACAGGGTGAGCGCCACTTGAATGGGAGAAAAAATGCCAAAATGTCAGAGGAACTGAGAACAAAAGCTGGAACAGATTAGCCGGCTGAGAAAAAAACATACAAGAGCGGAGGAGAAACCGCAAACAGCGAGCATCAATTACGCCGCCAGCATTGAGCGATAATCGAAGGGAGGTTATCTCGGGCAGCACCTGTAACATCTACACTGAGCTGCTCTAGCACTAAGTCAGGTTAGTCAGTTTACGGAAGCCGTAGGGTGAGAAGCTGACGGACAATGGAGCAAACCTCTAGTGTGGCAGAGCTGGCCAAAAACATTGAGGATTTAGAAACGGATGCCTCCAGGGTGGCAGATCATCAGGAGTATGCCGAAGCCCTGTCAATGTCCGGCCGTGCTAGGCCTAACGGTCGATGGAGTCGAAAGTCCTGCTGCACTCGTCAAGTTCTAAGTGCAGGCGCCATTTTCATCGCCCTGCTACTTGTCATCGGCGCCATTTACATGCACTTAAGACAGAAGACCCATCTGGGCCGACTGCACATCAATCCGGAGAGGGTGGATGCCTTGGAGGAGGACTTCCCCGTGGTCACCGCTGCCGGAGTGGGTGAGTGCCTCAAGGACCCTTGTTCAATCGTTAAAAGCTCTTACCCATCAGATAATTTTATAAGCGGTTTACATTGTTGGCTGGTTCTCTCTCTCTCTCTCTCTTTCTATCTGTCTTTCCCAGCTGACTGATTAGAAATGCCATTAAGAGAACGAGGAGATCTCTGCGTTCCGACAAAATACTGATTATAAATAAAGAAGCCTTATTTTTTTATTTGACTTTATTATATGCGTCAATTTTATTATCTGATCGGTCAATTTAAACTGTATTAGTCATTCAGTCACACTAAACTGAATAAGAAGAATAAAAGGCCAATAAAAATAATTAGACTTGCATGATAAATACTATACTATATGGTATGTTAATTTAGCCCACGTACATCTGTATATGAGCAATCCCAGTGAACTGAATTCCAGTTTTAGTATACAAGTGTGCTCTTATATAGCAAAAGTATTCCAAACTATGTTTAACATCAAAGTTAAAAAGTTACTAAAACTGCAATTTAAAGTTGCTTTGCCAAAACTGCTAATAAAACATACCCAGTTTGCAGTTGGTGCTTTCTTAGAAGTTTCCAACTTAAGAAGAGTGTGGCTAAAACGTGAGGTCTACGAGTTATTTAGTTCCGGCGGAACCTTCTGCCAACAATTCAGTTGGCTATATTGTGTGTATGTGGTAAATAGTTTCGATTAAACGGCTAATTGGCCCCGGTCTTTGCAATGCATTTTCCAGCTGCCCAGACGATAACAACATTCCAGCCAGATACTCTGGAGCTAAGCGGCAAATGCCTGGCCTGTATTGCCGCCACTGCCACGGATAATACTTCGGCAACGTGCAGGAACCGAGGTCGGAGTGAAGAGCCGTGCGGCATTTATCGCATCTCCCACATCTACTGGCAGGACACACAGGGGGTATACCAGCCGGACAACTCACTTGCGCAGGGTAATGTATACACTAAAGGAAATACCCTAAACATTTTTCTTACAAAAGATTATTAATTATTACTTTCTTGTCTAAGTAATTCGCATTTCATTATTTATTAAAGCTAGCAATAGAAAGCCTTGAAAGCTATTACCAAATATTTGCAAAAACAGGAATAGACAAGGCCATTAGCAAAACTTTAGCAACGATAATTGAATTATTGACAATTTGGAGACAAAATAACAAAAAGCTGTTTATTTAGTTTACCCAGAACATTGTTTAATCTAATTGAAAGCATACATCAGAGTTTAAAATGTGATTTCCTATTTCAGCTTAAATATCTTTAAGCTTTTTATAGTGTAAACTAACTTTAAACAGCTTGGCGGAGCTACCACACTAAATACTAAATAAAAGATATTCAAGTAAATATGTAAAGGTTTTTCAAAAATAAAGAAACGGGCACTTTTTACGCAAATAACGGGAAAGAAAGGACGCGAAAAATCGACGTGCTTTCTCAAAGAGAAATAAATTTACATAAGTGCCAATCTAGTTTTTGATGTTCTTCATTTAAGGATTTCACTTTTTCCCAGTGTAGTATCCATTGTCAAAATGCCACAAGCGTGTAATGACCACCGACTAACCCATACCCCCTTCCCTCCTTCCATCAGATTACGAACGGTGCGTAGTGGATGACCGCTGCGCCGAGAGTATTGTCCGTAGCTATGTTCAGCGATATGGTGGTGATTGCAACGGAGATGGAAGGATCGAGTGTCGGGATCATGTGATGCTGCACATGCGAGGACCAGGCGGCTGCCGGAGACAAGAGCTACTGCAGCCCCAGGCTAAAATCCGTTTGGAAAACTGTTTGAAATACAGGGAGATTACATAGAACCGACTGGGCGTTTATTCTTTCAACTGCAGGCGCTGCATTATGGGCCGCCAGTAGAGCGTTAGCACAAAGAGACCTATGAACTCATGGAACAGCAGCAAGGCGGCTAACTTGTCATCGTACAGACCTTCCGAGAGCACTCTTCCGCCCGTTATGGTCTGCACATGATACATCAGGAACTGCAAATGATTTGTGTTTAAGCGGGGGACAGCTGCAGACTATGCAAATAATGAAAAACTCTTACTAGCAGTACAATGCAAGCGATTAAGGTTGCGAATGCATAAAATCCCCAGGTCATGCCAAGAACTGCATAGAATAAAAGGGAATATAGACTCATCACATAAGCACCAGTAGCTAGAATATATAGATAAAGTCCTGCTTCTGTGAGATCAGGCTGTGGGGTTTTGAGTTATCTAGAGTTTTTATACTTAATTTCACACATCTACTTACCGTCATAAAAACAGCTATTATAGTGCACATCACAAATACCAAAGACACTATCAAAAATCCTGCTAGCATATAAAGTATTCCCGAAGATACGATCAGCAAACTGAGAGAAAATACCACACATTCCACCTGTATAAGATTCGTTCACACTTTTCATCTCAATTGGATTAAGCTTAAAATTGTTTACTCACGATAACTAAGGTAATAATCCAATTGATACAGGATATTTTTCGCAGTTGTGTACTAACGGAGAATATCGCGAGAAGAAACATACCCATGACAAAGGCGAGTATCAGGGCAGGTAAGTTATCTTTTACCATGTCAAGGAACCAATCACTACCAAAATATATATTAATAAAGACCTCTTACAGATATTATTTATCCAATAATCTTACTGCAATAACGTTAGCATCAGGATCCAATGTACAATTCCAATGAGAAGGAAACCACCAAACTCGAGGAAAACCTTTATGATATATTTCCGTCGGTCCTCCTCCGATTCTCTGCGGCTAAACGGCCAGATGATGACCCCATCGAACATGGTGAAATATAAATAGTTTGATTTTGTTTGCCAGGAGCTCTGCGATACAGTCGGACTGAATTTCATAAAAAATTAACACAATTCTCGGACACTAATTGCACATCAAAATGAGCCGTCCGGAGCCAAAAAGTTTATGGAGCGAATTAGAACAAACAATGCCGACGATTCGGCGTACATAATTGAACTCGACAAAAGTTTATAATCTGGCAGCATCGCGAACAAATTGAACAACAACTCGCAAGTGTGTAATAATTAAAAGTTTGCGCAAAATGTTGCGGACAAACAGGAGTGGGGACGGACAAAGTTTTGGCGCAAGTTTTAAATCATTTAGCAGGGTAGGACTAATTGCTGCCATGTCGCATTAATTTGTAGCGACTGATAGCTGGGAAATAGTGCGTATGCGCAATGCGTTTATACTTAGTCTGGGTTATGGCTTACTTACACCTAACAGGAGTTGTAAGTTGCTTAAATGAAGGATAGAAGGAGTATTTGAGATTATGAGAAATTAGATTTGAATCTTATTGTCAGTGCACATTTAATAGCATTTATTTACTAAAGTTTAAAAATTTCTAATTAATGGATGAAAGGAGCTTTTGGCATTATTTTGATTTTATGTTCCATAGAATAATAGAATATATAGTACAGAATCCTTTTGAATTTAAACTTATTCTAACATTCTTAAGGTCAAAACTAGGTGGCATTTATTTATATATATATATTTCTCATTTAACTTTGCTAGCTTCCAAGCTTAACTAGGATCAATGCCAATGTAAGCCGACGGGTTTTGTCTAGGACAACGATTTGCCCATCGCCTGAGCTCTAATCTTTCGATTGCATGACAAGTGTACATAACTTTATTCAATCAAATGTGCAAATAGCGCATAATGCAAACAGAAATAGTCCAAATGAGCAGACAATATTGCGGCATAGACAAACCGATAAGAAGAGACTCAAACTCGCGCTTCGTGTTCATTACTTATTGTCGATACTATATCGAGGGCTGTAGATAAACATTGCTTGATTGTTTGATTGATTGATTGAGGGCCGGGTGAACTGCTGAATTGCTGCCATTTTGCCATGGCCAAGGACAAAGAGTTTCATTTAAAAACAATTACGAATTCGGTTGAATAACTCGACGTTGCGCATCGATATTTTTCTTTTTCACTGGCCCGTGTCAAAGGTGTCGCTCATCCAGGATGGAAAAAGTGAGCATGGAGGCGGTGAAAAGCCGGAGGTGGGACTCAAAATTGATTGCTTTATTGCAGCATGGCGTGAAGATAGAGAAGATGGTGGCGGGGAGAAGCAGGAAGGTGAACTGGACTGAAAGTGGTGCAAAATTGATGGAATGCACTGCAAGTTGTGATAAGAATTTTTGGCGCTCAACTTGGAAAACTTTGCTGGGAACTTTTTCAGCTGGCAGGCGGATTAGGTAAGCTAGCTTCTCTTACTCTATCTCTTTCTCTCTCTCTCAGTATGTCCTTTTTGAACCTCTATCATTCATGAATCTCCCCGACCCACTCCTGCTCCTGCTTCACTTTGTTTGCATTGCCAAGTCGAATGAAAATGTCAAAAAGTGTAGCATACTTTCCGACTGCCAAGCTAACAGCATTTGCTAAATGAAATTTACATGACATGGCCGAAAATGGGCGGACACAAACCTGAAAGGGTTGCCATTGCCATTTACCCGTCTGGACACCCAGCTCAAGTCCCTTCGGCAATCAAAAGTGTGCCACATAATTAAGTGTACATCAGAGATTAGCCACCGCCATCAACAAAAACAAGGCGGACGCTGTCCCGCGGGGAAATTGTCCTGGTTCCTGGTTCCTGGTTTCTGGTTTCTGGTCTCTGTCCTTGTCCTCATCCCCAACCCCATCCTCGTAATTCCTTCAAAACGGCAGTCTTTGTGCGCATACTTAAACAGACATTGGCAATGACATGACCTACAACTGTTCCGGCAAACCGCTTTAATGTCTCTCTCATGGCTGCCGGCTAAAAGCCGAGGCGCTTCATTAATTTTATTGCCACCTTCCCCTTTTCCCTTTCCCTGGGCCATTCCCTCTACCAGATTCTTCGCTTACAATACCACTGCCTTTTCGCCTAGGCCGCCTGTTGTCTTTGCTTTGAAGTTTCCTCAGTTGTGGCAAAAGTTTTGATTGTCTAGCCACACACTCGCATGCCACACAGAGAACAAATGTGGCTGCAATTTGTCATATTTTTGGACTTCTTCGGAGGACAGATGACATTTCTTTGTGATAAGTAAAGCATTTTAATCTGAATATTTCAGAGTCTTAAATTAGGAGAGAAAATCAATCTTATTTTTAAAGTTTCCCTCAGTGTACGTACACACATGCCGGCTTGGGTGTGTTTGAGCCAACTCAAGTGGTTAAACGTAAAACTTTTTTAATTAGAGTTGTTTGCGGGCAGCGCATTGTGCACACAATTTCTTTTCGATCGTCTTGGCCGAATAGTTTTGCTTTAACGTTTAACGTCTAATGTCCGGTGGCCAGGAACCAAGAAAGGTTCTTGTCGCGGGGGCGGAATCGCCATAAAATCGACAGCATTTGCTCGCGAGCCAAATAAAATTCATGAGCCCTTGTAATAAAAATGTCACAGCGATGCAGGCTACAAAAGACGGCGGCCATCAAATGGGTGGGGAAAACCCCCCCATCTGCCTGGTTTTTTGGGGCAAATCTAGACGAGGCCTGATGGTTTTTTTGGGTGGGAGACGGGGAAGAGCAGCTGTCAACGCCGTCGCTCGACAATGACAATAGCTTACCCTTAGAGGACCGTAGGACCACAGCGGTGAACGCATAAATTTCGCCGACATCTTTTGTGCCCGAGCTCCAAAAATTCAAATTCAAATTTTCACAGCAGTTTGCATTTATTTAATTTTACTATTATCAGAATAAAAAGGCTTTGCGCCTGATTAGAGCTTGCCGGGAGAGGCCGCGCTCCTAAATGGGTTTTCCCAAATTAAATGAAAATTAAATGACGACCGGGTGGCGTTGTGTAGGCAAACCTTCATTGACACAACGTGCAAATCTAATTTGGATTTTACCCCGCGCCAACAACAGTCTCTCATCTTTTTTATAATAATGAGAATGCTCCCAGACCCTTGATGGCTGTCCAAGTACGAGCACACACAGCAGCACTTCCGGCAATGCTCCACCCTAGGCCGCCGAATATCCGCAGGATGTGTCGTTGCCCCTGTTTTGGCACAGGGAAAAATAACCAAAAAATGTCAGGAAATTTGTTTTTTTAATTTCCAATATTAATATTGTATTTAAGTAACTTTAAGCTTAAGTTGCAAAAGTTAAGCAACAGCCTCATAGCTTAAATTTCCTTAAAAGCCGTACGGTTGAAAAATCCAATAATCTATCTTGCCTAGATTTTTTGTAGGTTATTTTTTTAAGTCAGTCATTGATGGATTATTTAATAAAAAGTTAATATTGCTTTGATTTTTTTTTCGCCGTGTTGTCGCCCGTCAATGCGATTTCGTCAACGCAATCAGCCGGAGAAACATCAGCGAAAACAGCATCGCGACGCCGGCGAAAAACATTTTCCTGTTGTTTCTGCCAATTTTGCGGCTGATGCTTTTCTTTTTTTTTTTTATTATTATTTTGCTCTCCACGTTTTCGTCCCACTTTTCATACTCGACGATTTCAGAGATTGCTGGCGCTCAAACATTCGGCACTCAATATACAGTTTGCATTATACAATATAGATGCCCATATCGCTGCTTTGCGTATCAATGAAGAAACCGTCTTTATTGCACATTTTCCAATGTGAACAACGTGGCGTATACGCATTATACAGCATATAAAGCGTTCTGAAGCTTACAGTGGTAAGGTTTCTGGGTGATTGTATTATGTGGAATGTGTAATGAAAAGTTTTATTTTAAATTTGTATTTATTTTATATTGTAATTTAATAATTTGAGGTTTTAATGAATTTAAAGGTTAAAAACAGATTAAATAACGAGTTAAAAACAATTCAAAGGATGTTTTAAGAACTTTTGTGATAAAAACTCTTAAAAATATGGTTTAATTAATTCAGAAGTTCATTTACTTATTGGCAGGACATAACTCATCTTCGCAGTTAACCTTTTGAACCACTGTACTCCATTGAAGACAAACAGTTTTCGAGGCTTTGTCGTTTCGTGCCGCTTCGACCGCTTTTTTCGTATTTCGGTCAGGTCACATTTATGTTGTATACATTAATTATGGCTATTTACTTTGTCCGCTTGGGCTCATGCCACTACCACAGCCAGTGCCACTGCCACTGCCACTGCCAATTATGTGCACGAAATTGCTTATTATTGAATGCATAAACACTCATACTACCAACCATCCCTATATATACCATACTTGGCCTATAAAAACCGAGTGTATAAAGGCGCCAAAAGGCCAGGTTAAATGGTGGTCAAAGGAGCCATTCATTCCTGGCCTAAAAGGCCCATCAGCCGCCGCTCTAACAAGAACAAGAACGAGGAAAAACGTTTTGGGTAAACAAAAATATGTCATGTTTACTCAGCGAGCAGCCGCAGCAGTCCGAGCCAAAACTTGTTTTTGGCTTTTTGTTTTTCTGTGTTTTTGTGCTTTTCCTGTTTTGTTTATATATTTTTATTTCACTGCTACTTTGGCAGTTGTTGTCATTCGAGTATGGTCCAGAATGATGGATGTTATTATAATGTCGACGAGTAGGCTTAGCAGGCGCCTGACGTCCTGAGTGGTCTGACCCAAAAAAAAAGAAGAAATTGACAATGACAGTTGAGCTTGGCCACTGTGAACGGCTTCTTGTAAGCTGCTTAAAAATTAAAACAATTTAATAAAAATTAATGGCCACTGCACAGCAATGGGGGAGCGAGCAAGGCAGCAGAACTGCGCTTTTCATGAAGTATTTATCAACTAAAAGTACTGTTTTTATTTTCCTTCCCCTGGCAATTATACTAATTGGTATCATGGCGCGGCGGGCGAAAAAGCTGAGCTGCAAGCATAATGCGATAATTTATATTCCCTGCCGGGGAATCCTTTGAGCCACATGCCAGATGGCCGGCCACTACTCGCTCGGTCCGTCTTTGTGGGTGATGCCAAAGAGAGATAATTCCCGACTCAATTTGATTAAAACAAGACAAGGATTATCCTGGCAATACATAATAAGTGAACGGTGGGTACCACTGCACATTTGCATAAAATTACAGTCTTTCAGGAGGAGGAGAATTTATAGAGTTTCCAGGGTAAGAACAACTTTAATGGAAGGAAATCAAACACTGAAATTAAATTCTAATTTCAATTATTATTACATTTATGTTTGCCATTAAAGGTTTATTACGTCTTCAGTATTTTCTTCGGCATTCGGTTTCGTTATTCCAAATTTATTTTTGAATATTTTATCTTCATTTTTATCTTCTTCATCATCGCATTCTGAAACTGCTTCTCCCAAACAATCATAGTAACCGACATCCTTTGGTTTATGAAAGTCCAAGAAGCAAAAAACCATCAGGATAATGCAGAAGTGGCAGAAGAGAACGATCACAGCAAGAAGACCATCGGTGGTGTACAGTTCCGCATATCGCCAACCTCGGATCAGTTGGGCATGGTACATGATGAACTAAGAAACTTATGATTAAGGAAAACTCAATGTCTCAAAGATAACTTTACCATACACACAACACCCACGATCAGAAGGGCGAAAGTGTAGTAAAAGCCATCACCCGATTCAATCATCAAGTAGATCATAAGTAGATATATGCTGACCAGAAATAACTGCACTCCAACCAGGAAAAGGATAGCCACATTGGCAGTCAAATCCCAAGGGATAAAGGAACCAATGAGCACAGAGATAGCCACCAGAATTGCAGTTATTGCGAAATATAACAAAAATAGCCATTCACGGCAGTAAGCTGCCAAAGTGCAAATACCAATAACCATTAGTTCTATCTGTAATCTGAAATATGGGTTATTCTGGGACAGATAACTCCGTTAAATATATACCCACAATGAGGCACAGAAGCACCCATCCAAGGATTGGCATATATCGAGCTCGTCGAACAAGCAAATATATGGCTAAAAGTGGAGCTGAGATCAGCATGCAGGATGCACTTAGCCAGTAGTTGGCCAAAAAGAAATCGGTAAATGGTTTACTGAAGTGAGAAAGGGTTATAAGGATAATAGATCATATTAGCTACTAAGGAAACTCACTGGCCAGACACTAGTTCCCACTGTACCAAGGCTAGGAGTAGTAATACCACGACGAGTAGATACACCAAAACTATATATCTGCCTCTGGAGAATCTCTGGCTTTCGTAGGGCTCAAAATGCAGCATGCTGGGGCGTGGCACAGTAACTGAGACTGCCTGGCTTGGTGGTTTATTGTTAGAGCCAGGACTCCAAGAACTAGTCGTCGCCATCTCGCGGGCACTTGTGAATTAACACCCCCCAAAAAGGATATAGAGCGGAGAAAATGAGTTACAACAATCAACAAGGAAAAAAAAACAGACAAAAGAAACCCGACACGAAAAGCATTTGTTGCTGGGGCATACAACTCACTTTACTGCCACATCCGGTTTAAACATCTGGCATTTAAGAGGTATCTCAGGGACGTTTTTTCCTTTTTTTCCCGCTCATAACAATACCCCAAACTCCAGAACAGATAACACACTTTGCGGGAATTTGCAGCCGTATCCAAATCAAATGATTACGGCGGCAGCACATGACAGCCATGAGGGAGTTCTTTCTCGGAGAAGGGGAACTCTGCTTGTTGTTCTGAGTTTTTGAATAGATTTCCCGGATGATAGATGGCTCGATTTTCAATGGGTAAATTTTGTGGATTATGCTGCAGGTTGATTTATCTACTTATCTTCCCAACTGGCTTAAGATACCAATGCCCTTTTGGATTTTTGCTATTTCGCTTTTTGTGTAAGCGCCGAACAATTTGTTACACCCTGAAGTTAAGCTCATGTTCATGTATCTTAAATTACAGGTTTCGCTTTTTTCCAAGAACCTTCTTCTTATTCTCTCTTGGTCTTTTTAAATACCTCAATTTTTTATAAGATTCATTTTGGTTCCTTTTCGCTGGAAGAATAACATTTATCCTGGTCTGGAAAATACTTCTCAGAACTCTCCGTGTCTGCATTTGATATGCGCTTCCTGGTGTTTTCTTACAAATCCATTCAATCCAGAATCAACAAGAGTGTAATGAGTATACGGCCTCGAAGGGTTTAAGCCAAGGAACATAACGAAAGGAAAAGAATAAGAAATGGGGACAGATGTGAGCCAACCAACAGGGAACCCATAAATTCGTTCCAGTAAACATTTTTGAATTGTTGAAAAGATTTGTAGGAAAACAAGACAGGCAAACACAAACTCGCACACATCGAGAGAATTCCTATATATATATTTATTTATATACCCTGAACCGAAGCGGCTGCAAAGTTTTGGCCAAAGTGCTAAAAGATGTGTGAAAGGCTGCGAAAGGCTGCGACGGAAGTGAAGGATGGAGCTTGGCGGATGAGGGTGAAAGGTTGGCCAAAGCGCCTCAAATTACTTTTTCAACGGGAGGCCTGGGCGCAGCTGTTGATGGCTCTAAATTTTGGATCTTGGGCATTTCTTATTTCTTTTTCTTATTTTTTTTTAATTTGGTTTTGCGTGATGCTGATTCCTGAGCTGCGATATCGAAGCCCACGACTTCAGCTTTCAGGACTTCAACTTCAAAGGACAGCCAACGCATTTACCACTCAATTAGCAAGGCTGAGAATCCAGCTCACTAATTTATTAATGGCCAATGTCAAAACTCTGCTGCCTTCAAATGACATTGAAAAATTGCCTAGCCGAGAGTGTGTGTGTGTTTTCTGTTTAATGGCCCAACCGTCTTTTTGCCACTTACGTGTTTTTATTCTCATGCCACCAACAGCGCAACAATTTAGATAAGGAATATGCAAAGCATGTGTGACTGCTGCTTGGTTTTTTCGCTTTTTGTTGGCCTGGCATAAATATTTTGTGCTGGGCTTGTTGAATTTTTAACTGCCGAAGAAGCAACTTAATCAGCAAAGATTTACGGTTAAATTCTTCTTCACTTAGCATAAGAGCAGACACATGACAGCCGTTTAAAATTCAAGTACCAACTATAAAAGCGGAGACAAAGGCCAAGACACCGATGCACTTAAGTGGCGGACCATAAAATATTTTGGACCACCTCGAGTGGGTAAATGTGGCTGTAACCTAACTCCCCGAAAGCCTTTTATGGGACAGTTGTTGGGGTTTTCTTTGGGGTGTCTTAATATCAAGTATACGCCCTGCCCGCAGGTGTCCGGCCACAAATCAAATACGCAGCAAGTACAATAAAATCAAATAAAAGAAAATAACAAATCGAATGAAATGCGAATAGAAATAGCCCCCAAATTGCATTAGTAGAAATCACATAGGATATAATGGCGCCGCGATAACAATGTCCTGTCGACAAATTCTTGGCTCACCTGAATGGACATCAACTAAATTGGTTGTCCTTTGCAATTATTATGTGTTCTTCTCTATCACCTTGGTCGAGTATTTCCTGTCGGCACAAAAATACATAAGAGCACTCACATACACACACACTAACACACACGAGAGATGTCGTTGTCCTCGAGGAAGCGAGTTTGTTGTGGCTTTCGCGTAAAAGGACACGGCTTTATGAATGAACAAACGGTTAGCGAAAGCTATGGGTATTCTCCCTTATTATTATTATATTCCCTCGGCTTTCCTTTCTTTTGCGGCTAAAACACGTCCGACTCGCAGGCCGACGAGCGATTATCTGAAGCGTATGCCAGTCGTGGCCAGGAAATTACTGTGAAATTCAATTGCCAACTCCGGCGACCTGCGCACTGGCTAACAGCCAAAGAGAGTGTCCTAACAGAGCCGAGAAGAGAGACTGTGCGAGAGAGGCTCTGACTATGTAGGTTGACAAGAAGTTAAACAAACAAAACAAAAGTCAAGCTGTATCATAAATATAATGAAAAGTTTTTGCCAGCAACAAGCGGGTGTTTGGCTCATCTCCACCCACAATGGATACTTTATTCTTCATCCAACTTAAATGTCAACACAACGGCACACACAGAACAATATTGGCGGTTTCTAGGATCGATTCAATGTTTTTCATTTTGAACTTTGTGTTTATAAAGTGTTAAAATAATATTAAAAAGAGATCGCTCCTATGGAAATCCACTTCCGTACACAAAATATTTTGTTGCATACTTTTTGGATCAATTCGTAAGCCCATAGAGTCTCATAGAGACATAGAGACTCCAGAATCTTTCTTAATATTTAATAAAATCAAGATATTTCTTCATGTGCACTCGAGGGTACACATAATTAAGAAATCGTGCTTACTCCACGCACTTTGATTCAGTTGAGTGGCGAGTTGAGAATTCGAAATGTCTCTGGCATGGCAAATAAGCTGTTGACTTTGTAATCATTTCAGCATGTTTATCAAGTCATTTATTGAGTGGGCTAAGAGAAGTCAGGGAACGTCCTGATTAGCGGCAATTGCGATCTTGCTGTTTTACCAAGAACGCGACTTAGCCGCGGCAATTATGAAAATAAGCCAGTGCCTTTTACGCTGAATGGCTAATGCCAGAGACTCACTAACACCGGGCCATTACCTCTAAAGTGGGCTCAACTGTTTTTGTTTTTGTTTTTGTTTTTATTCCTGTTGACTGCGGTCTGCCGCGTGTCCTTTGCGGTTTGCGGCGGTGATTCACGTTTCAGCAGGATTGAGCACGACTGCGTGGGGGAATCCCCCGCTGGGGAGCCAAGTGCCCGGGGCTCAGGTGAGGAAATTAAAAGTTAACTGCCACTGGAGAGGATAAGCAGAGCAGGACGACCATCATATGCTCACTTTAAAGTATATTTTCAGTTGCGAAACATTTCAGTGAATACGAAATGCCTGCGGTTGCATAGCTTTCTCTGGTTAGCCACTTTTTACTCGCTTTTAGTTTCCATTTTGCCTCACAGTTTTCCAGACTCAAGCTACCATTTATAACTAAACACCAACATAAATACTTGCCATTCAACGCAATCTATAACACAAATCAATAATGGAAAAATATGCAAAATGGAAAATAAATAACATTTTGCATATCAATGAGTTGAAATCAATATTTGCTCTTTTGATTTAAGAATCTTAATGGGAATTTAAACATTTTTGTGTGATTTTCAACAGGATTTGTATGCATTTATGAAGGTCACACATGACCATTAGGTAAAATATTTACTTTAAATATCTTTTTTGCCATTTAAAACAGATTTGCTTAACGCCTTTCAGCGGGATCTCTGTAGCGAGTAATCTTGATTACCACCGACTGAAAGTCAGAAAATTATCTGACAGATACGTGGGCATGTGGAAAGTATCTGCTGCCAAGTGGCACGCTCCACTGGTTCGAATCCGCAGGGAAACAAACTTATCGCTGCTTTTGCCGCATACTTGGAGAGTCAGTTTCGCTATCAATAAGTAAGCAATAATCAGGCGAAGTGGTGGTGTTGCCACAGTTGAAAGGAAATACAGTTGCAACGACCACCCATTTCTTTTCACCGATATGTAAGTGAAATACCATGGCAAAACACCGTAATGCAAGTCAATGAATGTGATTGTTTGCCGGGAAGTGCAAAGTGTTGAAAGGACTCACGCAGAATGGCAGTCAGACAGACATGCAGACAGACTGGCAGGAGCCCACAGGAGTGCATTGCCACAGAGTGGCATTCAATTGCCATGCGGCAGACAAGTGAATCAGCAGCCGAGCGGACAAACAAATAAGCAAATTCACTGTAACGACCACAAGCCCGGCTTGATAGCATCACTTGACAAGTCAATGAGACGGCTTCTGAATGCAAGTCAAGCGGAGGAGGACACCTGGTCGCAGCTATCCACCATCACCATCACAATCACTATCCCACCACTGAATCGGTGACAATGCTATTCCGATCACATTTGCCCAATGCACCTGAGGCCATCACTCGTGTTTCCAATTTCAGTTCAGCTTGCGGTTTGCTATTTCAAGCAAGTAATGCAAACTTTTTAGTTTAAGAATAGCATATTTTGTTTTTCTATTGTACAGATAACAATCTATATATGGGATTTTTTTAAATTTAAATAGACCAGATAGAAAAACTGCTGTTTAATTTATGAAAACCACTAGGAAAGTGAGCTGAGAAAGCCAGCTTCCTCTAAACAGTCTCGGGTGGAAAATCTCTTAAGACCCTAACCAAAGCCCGTAAAACGTTTTGTAATCTAATTAATGGCCCTGCAGCAGATAATGGGCAAGTGTATTCATAATCCCTGGCAATTTCGCATTCATTAAAAGCCAATAAAAGTGAAAATTATAACGCTTACCTACCCAGGATCAACCCCCTCCGCTTTCTAGACAGGTGAATGGGCTCCCACTTCATTAATAGCCAGCGTGGGTGGCTCAGAGAGTAATGGAAGCTAATGAAATAACAATTAATTGAAAAAAAAAGAGAATGAGTGTGTATACTATATATATATAGGGAAGATGGCTGGCCATCAGCTGCCGGACGAGTTTCAGGGCCATGGGCAAATACAATTTGTTTTAATTAATTGAAGCCACAACCGCAGAGCTGACCGGCCGAACCTGATTTAGATGAATTGCCGGCAGTTCAGCCGGGGCTTTGGCTCCGTCACCGACTTAATGTCTGACTTGGCAGCCCAAATCCTATGGACAACATTGGGATGCCACCGGATTCCGGGGCCTCCGGCCTTGGATGGCAATCAAGCGTGAAATGATTGGCAGGCAGGAGTTGAAATGCAGCCCCATCAGATATTCACATATGTCGCACGGGCCCAACTATTAGCGAGGCTATCGATTAAATTCCCCGCAATCCCAGAGTGCCAATGTGCCATAGCCCACGGGCTAAACCTAAGCGTGTCGTCAGCTAACCGATTTCAGGACAGAGATTGTACTATAAGCATTATTTCTGGCAGCTACTTTCGAACTCCGGACTTCTATCATTTAAATATGCCAACCAGTGAGTAAAGGGTGTAATTTTGGGTATTTTAGTTTGGTTAAAGGGTAATCTTAAATCACTAGAACGGCTATAAACTATTAATGTGTCTAAAAGTATGCTACATCAAGTTTTACGATTTCTCTTCGAATATAATAATTACATAAAATATGTTATTTAAAGCTTAAATATTATTCTTTAATATAAGTTTAATCCCTCATTAATTCAGATAATTCAAAATTACGAAATTCTCCCAGCAATATATTGACTTTGGCATAAAACCCGCCAAGTAAAGGCCACACTGCGTATAAGTAATAGCCTTAAGTACACTTCCCATTCTTTCTACATTCCCCTCATCTGTCACAAACTGTTAGGGTATCAATTAGTCAGGAGCAGTCCACTTCCATTTTAAGCATGCTTGCGGCAACGGAAAGTTGAACAAAAAACTTTGGCAAGCTAAGTTGCGCTTATGCTTATGTTCGGGCGAGTATGTAAATGCTACCGGGGGGCATTAGTATCGGTGTCTGCGGTTTTGGGGGTGTGTGTGTGTGTGTGTCAGTCTGTGTTCCTGTGTGTGTCTCTTCCGTCAACTGTATGGGTGCGGTAAATGCGGGTGAGTCGGTGTGTGAACCACAACATGTGTCGTCGGGCGTGAACAAAAGTGCTAAGAAAATTACATTTTGGCCACATGGAAGGAAGAAGTTCTTGGCCGGAGGCAAGGACCTGGCCTAATGCCTTAATACACTTAAATTCGCTGTAAATCAGGTAGCTCTCGACTAATTTGTAGGTGGCGAGAAACCACTTGGCCCCGGGAATCACAAGTTACTTGATCCCCACAACAACAGCGGGAACTAAGTCACTGGGTTTAAATGGAAATTTTTAAATAAACGAGCTGGATGCCACATAAGAAAGTATGTTACATATGCAGTGAGAAAAATGCTGAACATGTCTTAATTATTTTAAATTTTTTTTAAACGAAATATTTATATATTTGTAATTAAACGCAGCGATTGAAGCAATATATATACTCAGCTACTTAGGAATTTAAAAATCTGTGTTCTGCAACATTAACTATATTTTTTTGAGTGCTCATGTCCGGAATGAAAGTTTCCCCTTCCGCTTTGTGTTCTCCTGGGTGCTGCTTCTCATGTCCTTATGCAAAATTCACATCCACAACAATCGCTCCAAACTTTTTTCCCGCATATACATTACGTTTTTTGTTCCACTTACAACGGCCAAAAAAATATGCAAAGCATGAAAAACGCGCCAATATATCGCAGCACGGAAATAATGCAATTTGTGTATGAACTTTTTAACGCACTCGTAGTTTTTTATAACCAAACCCAAACTCTCGAACTTCGAGCTCGGAATGCGAGTTTTCCAAACATAAATATTTACGTACGAAATCCACTCGTTTTTTTTAGGGGAATTTAAAAACAATCGGATAGCTCGGAAAGTCCTGCTCCTCTCACGAACAGCAGACAACTGAGGATACGAGGTCGATGTTGGCCAGTTAAAAGGCGGCATATACTCTCAACTGTTAGCCAACATTCGCTCTTAACTTGAAGAAGACTGTTGCTGTTACTTTCTGTCTACTTTTGCCCTGTCTAATATTGAATTATTGAAATCAAATTTAGTGCTTCCATCCATATGTGTGCGTCGCTAAGCAGGCGTTATTAAATTTCCATGCACAGCATTGCCTTCATAATTATATTGTAGTTAAAAAATGAAAAAATCATGACATACTTTTCAGCTGAGGGTGAAAATTAAAATATATATGCGGCCGCAATCAAAATGTCAAATCTAAAGTGAAGAACATATTTCTGGCTTATCGCCAGTCCGCTCCACTGCCTCCAGCAAATGTGGCCCAATTAATTGGAATTTTAAACAAATGACCGCGAATAAGCAAAGCAATCAGTGGTGTTGCTATACACTGGGGGAAATAAATGATTTGGTTATTAAAATAATATTGGTTTAGCACGAAATGCAGAGCTTTCTTAGAAATCAAATAGAAAATGATTTGTAAGCCAACTCTTCCAGGTGCAGAAGCTCAAAATTGAACTCGCTTACTATAATGCTGACGTTGAATCACCTTTAATATGCAAAACTGCCACCTTTCGTGGCACTTTTCTCTGTGCATTCATTGTACTTCATCGCATGTCAAATGCATATTTTACTATTAAGCGCCACCGTTGTTGTCCTTGTGGTCCTGGTCCTGTTATTGTTGCTGTTGTTGCTGCTATATCCTTGTGCGCTACTTCGGGCGCAGTTGTTAACGAAAACGGATTCCGGAAGCCGGACGACCGATACGGATATAAGTGCACCGTGTACGGCAAAGTGCAGAGAAGGGGACTGGGAATCGTAATAGAGAAGATGATGGAGGCCATCGAATGACGGCCGAGTGTCCGGCAAGTCCACGATTCGAGGTGGCATCTTCACGTACACATGTTGATGGAGCCACACACACACAGACATACAGTTGGACACACAATTTTGTCGCCTCTCCAGAATTTGACGTTTTTTACGATTTCAACGCTAGTTGGCCCCCGTTCCCCATAACCTCCTCCTACTTGACTATTGATTTTTACTTGGAAATAAATTGGTTTCGTTTGTCTGTTTAGCTATGGCTGTTGTCATTCGTATTGGTATGTCTGAAGAAATGGTGGGAATTTGGCACTTCACTCACTCGCACTTTGGCCGAAAGTTTTCTTTGGCAATTATTGTTGGAAATTATTTTTCATTTCTGCTTTCCAAAAAGTCTTCAACCGAGCTTTTATACCCGCCATCAACTGGCCATCGCAAATGGCCGGAACTATTGTTATTAATACCAGCCAGTGAATGTTTTTCTTTCCGTTTTTCTTCTTATTTTTTTTTTCTGCTCTTCTGTGCGAGAAAAATTGCACAGCAAATGAAAAGTGAAAACTGCAAAGTAAAGCATTAAAGTTGGATTTTCCCCTCTGCTTGCCAACTGAAGAATGTTAAAGGAAATTTCATTTAACGGGAATCCCTATAAATATGACTATAACAAAAGGGCTCCCCTTCCTTGGCCATTCTTTTTGGCCTCTTCAGTTTTTGCTTAATTGAAATGCTCACCCGTTCCGGGTTATGCTTTTCACTGGAAAAAGGAGTCCGGGATGGGCAGGTCTGTGTCATTTTCAAGCACTCGCTCGCATATTTTGGCAGCTACGTGACACATGCCGTGACTATGTTCCCGGTAGCTGCAAACAAAGTAATTTTTTTTATTTCATCCGCGCCGTTGTTTGGCTGCTTAAATATGGACATGGTAGCCCTTCAATCCCGCCCCGTGGCCACTCGTTGTCCCGAAAAATAGAAAAGGTATCCCTAGTTCCACCCACAAACGTATTTACATTGAAACGGTCACAAAAGGGTAGTTGTGTGTTTGTCTATCTATCCTTGTTGTCTGCTTTCTTTCTTTTTGTGTGATAGGGGGAAGGGGAGAAAAGTAGGCCAGACATCGGTCCAAATGCTCTACAGTTGGTTGAATTATGGCCAAATAAAAGACGTAGAGAGAAGCTAATTTTGTGCATAGTTTATACCATGACCATAAAAGTAAATTGCACGGTTACTGAGCTTAGGGTTATTGGCCCATTTGTTTAATGCCCTTATATAGGGGCTAAATTTCCGGAGAGTGCACCGGCTTATCTACACCCGCATTACTCAAAGGCTTAGCGGCGAATCGAACCCATCTGATTTCTGATTAAAAACACCAACTCGTAACTTTTATACACAGTTCAAGAGTCAGTAAATTAGTTATTTAGATTTTCCACACAATAAAGACGAGCCTTTAAATGCTTAAAGAAATGCGGAAATATCGGCACGTTTCAATTATTTAAACTTAACAAACTGTTTATGCATGTTTGGCATTTTACGATACAGCTGAAATCTCGCATTCATTTCAAAATTTATTGCCCTTCCAACACAAACAGCAGATCAGAACCGAGCTGACTGCCATTTACGACTTGGCACATGGACGAAAATCACCGGGAATAAACAGCAGGATACTCGGGTACGGTAGTCACGAAAACAATGCAGATGATTCTGGAGAACTCAGGACCCAGAATCCAGAATCCAGAACCCGAGCGAGGTGAACCGGATAAAAAGAGCCACATTTCCACAACGCATTTATAATTAGATTTTCAGCAAAATGATAAATAAAAGTTTTTGATTACACAGCAAGCACAGCTTTGTGTCGTGTTGTGTCCCCAGCAGCAGAAGCAGAATCCTGAAGCACCTGTGCCTCAAGTGGTGACCACAGATCCACAGATATATAATGGGTTGGCATTAGCATAAGCGTTGTTAAAGACCGAAAATTGAAGCCGGCAAACCTTTTGCAAGCCTGAATTTTATAGCAGTTCACACACATAGCATATTAAGTCGCCTTGCGTCCCAATCTTTTTAATTAACTACTCATATCCGCTGCTGAGCGTGCCTAATTGATATGAGAGACCCGGTCTCCGAGTTTCCCTCCAAGTTCCCTCTGAGTTTCCTCCTCCAAAAACCATCACGCTTCAATGGCGCTATGTGCGTGTTAGCCAAGAATCCTCTGTGTGCCAGTGAGTCTGGTTCTCTGCTGCTCCTGCTCCGCTGCCTGTAAGTGTCTTAATGAATTTCCATTTCCAGCAGACACTCATTCAATTCCCGCCCATAAAATCGCAGCCAAAAGCAGAAATTAACTTGCCTCATGTCAAATGTTAATGAGCAGCGAAAGCACAGTGTTTTCAACGCCCAATTAAACTTTTTTTTTATGACCAAGATTGACAAATTTTATGAATATTTTACTGGGAGAATAAAATAAAAAATCAGTGATTATGAACATTATTTTACATTTAACCCCATAACTATAAAATATTTTAGTTTTATACCATTAAAAGCAATTTGATAACTCGATTTGATTTCACTTTCAACATGCAAATCTCTTACAATACGTCAACAATGTCTTACTTTCAGCACGTGGGGCCAAAAAGAAAAACAAACTGAGACTGCAGACTTGTTTTGGCCACAAACAAGTTTAAACCCAATATCTTTACGTTTCCTATGTTTTCGGAAACAAAGTCTCCCTTGAAGGTATTGTTTCTTGTTTCGCCCACGTTGGCCTTGACCTTCATTGGCAACCAATACAAATCACAGAAAGTTTCTTTCGTTTTGTAAGCCAAAAACAAAAAGGAACTTTCGAAAATCTGCTGCATTCAAAAAGGGCGAAACTATCCGTTTTTGGGTAACTTTGGACCCACTGTTCACAAAAGAAGATGTCATGATGCCGGCATTAAATATTCAGTAACAAGTGCGAGGCATTGTCTCTCCTCTTCAGCCCAAATAAAATCTATGTTATGGCCCCACTAATTAGTTCTTTCCCAAGCAAATTAGTTAGACCGCAAATAAGTTGAATTAACACCAGTCGATGCTGGATGAAGATTTAATCGTATGGATTGAATGAACACATCATGTGATGACTTTTTTGGCAGACTTATGACTACGATTGGCTTTCCTGTATTTAGATCTGCTGGGCGCGCACGGCACGATCGGCCAATTCCTCGGGAGTGGGATGCTCCTGAATGAAGCGGATGGAATCCAGAATTTCCTGTGGGATTGGTGGGGGAGTGGGCAGGAGGTCGGATTGTGGGTGGAAACCATTCTCATCGGCAGTGTAAACCACTTGAACCGGAATGCCTTCGGGAGAGGTGTAGCTGTATGCTCCGCGAGCATAATGACCCGCCTGACCCTCTTCCTGGATGCTGAGACCACTGGCCTGCTGGAGTTCGTAGGCATAGGTTCCATCGGTATCCTGGTTAGCCAGGAACTTGGTGATCTGATCATCGTTCAAGGGTGCGGCCAGGGCACATCCGAAAAGGGCGACGACAAGGAGCTGTTAGGGTTTTTCAAAGGATTGTCAATTATACTACTCGAAATCTTGGACTCTTGTTATCCACTTACGAGCTTGTACATGTTGCTGCTGATGCTTCTGATTTGTTGACTGAGAGGCTAATGCTGTCAATCTGGGCCCCCGATTGACTATTTATAGTGCTCGGATAGTCAAAGACAAAGCCAATATGCAGACTCCGAATATGCAAACAAGTCGAGCATACAGAGCGACCCATATTTCGCCCAATAAACTGCTTTTGGCCACACGTTTTGAGTCATTAATGCAAGACATGAAGTTCCCATAGTGAGTTGATGCCGATTTATGGATACTCTTTAAAAATAAGAGTGGTTTGTCTTAAACGTTCAGACTTAAAATATGAATATGAATTTTTTTAAGTATAACGCCAACCAAGAATGACTACAATCGAAAATGCTTACCAACGAATGATTTTATCTTAGCTTAACATCGGTTATCGGAATAATATCGATAGTTAAGGTGGCCATGCAGTAAGCCTACTAAAATTGAATTATTTCTTAAAAATGTCTAAGTTTGTCTAAAACTCAATAACTTATTCTCTGACATTCTCCATAAATACTCTTTCAAATCAGCTGCCAAAACTAGTATACCCATTAAAATCAAAGAGTTGGGTGGAGCTGATGACACAACCTCAATGCATCAAAATCAAAGTCGAATGTTTGCTCTTCGGCCAACACCAGTGATGGTAAACCCTATCGAGATAACCAACAACAACTTGTTAATTTAATCAACTCAACAATGATATTTGAAGTTACAACATTTCTTGAGACCGAAACGCGCTCCAACTTGTATCGAAGAAGGGCCAACGCCAATTTGCATAAGACAACCGCCCAGCAACAAATACGAGTGTGCATTTATTAATTTCTGATTGAACTTCCCCCAGTTGGAATTGATATGGTCAAACCAGATCTGCACACTTGAAGGAAAATCTCATGGGGTAAGGCATTGCGATAATGCATGTGGGCGATGCGATGTCATTGGCACTGAGAAAAACTCTGTTTACCTTAAAAGACTAATATTATGGTTTGAAGGTGTCAAAATCTATCTCGGTTATTGACTAGTTTTAGCAAGTGTTAAACTTGTTTCTCACACATGTAAGCAAGTTAATCACTTTTACCTTGTCTGGGGGGGAATACCCTCTAAATGTTTGTTAAATTTTATATCAATTTTCATATTCCTCAGATCAAGCGATGAAGGGGAATTACCCCTCTATCTTTAATATACCAAAAATATCGTTTATTTAACATTTCATGGGTTAGTGGGCCACTGTTATGATTTACCCACCGAATCGCTGATATATATCATTTTTTCTCTGTGCGATGGCTCAAGGCATGGCCATATGCTCTCTCGTCTGTCGGCAAAAGGCATTCATAGTATAAACAAGCATATTAAATTGTATTTTTCTTTTATTACATTATTATTATCTCTGGCAATAAATGTCAACGTCAGTCGAGCCGACAACGGACACGGGACAGAGGAGACGGGTCAGAGGACGAAGGACCTCCTCCGAGCAGCCCGGGAGCAGCATGTTGATGTAAATGTATGAGGGTCTATATATACAGTGCGGGCACGGGTATGAGTGAGTGTGCCACCGCCTCCAGATGTACTCGCTTCGATGTTCCTTCTGCTGTTTGATGGGCACTATATGCTGGATGCTTGATATGTTGGATGCTGTATGTTGGATGGCTTGACTATGCAAACAGACACCCAAAAACATGAGGCAGCTGGACGGGATGGATGCGGATGCGGATACAATGGAAAGCTATGGTTGGTGCTGGCTTATACCTTCCTGTCGTAGGGCAGGACCTGACCCACGGACACTACTGGTGCTGACGCAGGCGCCAGCAGAGCACCGGCTGGCTGCAGATACTGTTTGCCTTGCTCCTGACCATGGTTGTGGTGGTGATGGTCATGATGTTCATGATGTTCATGATGGTCATGGTGCTCGTACTCCTCATTCTCCTCGGGATGGTTGCGGATCCATTCCAGGGACTTCAGGATGGCCTCTGGAATTGGTGGGGGAGTGGGCAGGTGCTCGCCCTGTGGCTGGAATCCGTTCTCATCGGCCGTGTAGGTCAACTGGATCAGCTGGCCCTCGGGGGTGTAATATTGAGATGAACCACTGGCATAGTAGCCACCCACTCCCTGCTCCTGCTGGGCAATGCCGTTGGACGTCTCGAACTGGTAGTTGTAGCTGTTATCATCCTGCTTTAGCTCGTTCACATAGCTTCGGATTTCGGCATGGGCATCCGGGGTATCCGAGGGACGAGCCTGGACTCCGAGCAGAATGGACACGGCCACAAGTACAACGACGTTCTGCAATCACATCAGTTATTATTACCATTGTATCCCTTAAGGAGCGCCTTTGAAACCTTTGACTTACGATCTTCGACATTTTCGCCTGGCTTAGGTTTGAGATTTGGTTTATGGTTTATTTGCTGGTTTGACCCTAAGAGCTAAGCTGTGTTTGATGCCTCAGTAACCTCGACCCGGCGCTTTTATACCCCAGAAAAGCTCGAAATTGATCTCCAACGAAAGTGAGGAAAGTGGTGTGCAGCCATTAGACCTGATGGTGATGATAATTGGGGGATATGCGGTGGTCTGGAGGTGGGGGAATGGAACTCATCACATCACATCACATCATGAAACATATGGCAGCTCATTTTGGATTTCACAGCCGAGAGCCAGCAACGGTTGCAACGCCAATTATCTCGACTCTAGGTGGCTTCCCCACAGTAATTTCCATTAAAAGTTTTGAGTGAAAATGAAACCGACCCGTTGACCACCTGGTCCGGATGACCCCTAAACTCCACTCCCCGCGGGTCAAGAAACTCTCTACGACCAACCGAGCAGCTCTTTTTGCTGCCGGCACTTGAGTAATTAAGTGTTTGTGTTAATTCATTAATTATCCACGACCAAGTTGCACATACTTATCGGGGCATATTCGTATGTAAGACGACCACTTTTACGAAATCCGTAATGGATTCTCCTCTCCGTTCCCAAACATATATCAACTCGCGGAGCATGGCATTATGCCATGGGATCGAGATAAGTGGACACATTAAACAGATACGTATGGCTCGTGCTGGGTTGGTTTGGTTGGCTTGGTGGGTTCATGGGGCGTGAAATGGCCAATGGATCCACTACTCCCCTTACAAATGATTGCTAATTTTCCCCTAGCCCTGGCAATGGGAAATCGGGAGATGCTAATCGATCAGAATTTGAAAGCAGTCTGCACCTGGTTTCGTTGTGCCAGCAACTGGTTCCGTTCATAAATTTTACTCGGCAATATAGGTCATGGGACAACCTATTGATATTTACTGCTACTGTTACTGTTTGCTTTGGCCTTAATTTAAGAAATGATATATTGTATTATTAACATTACCCGATGATGAGGCTATTTAAAAGTTTCCTCACGAAAAGAACAAATGAATGTTATATCCTTAAAGTTCATGAATTTTCCATCTTCATCTCCATATGAATTTAATCTTCACTTTTCATGACGGCAGAAAAGTCCATATTTCTGTCGTTATGGTGTGAAAGCTGTGAAAGTGCATTAAATTTGCATCTGATGCACAGCCCTCATAAATAAGCCAATATAATTTTTGTCGTTATTTTTACTCTGACATTTACACACGCATGTCCATAAAAATTCTCTCAGTTACGATATGCTTAAATAAATAATAAATATTTCTGAATCCATCGCCCTCGCCCTCTCATAACTTAATTCATTTGAGAGAAAAACGAAAGTAAAAAAAGTAAAGCAAAGATAACAGATAAATAGTGAGCTATTGTTAAACTGTTTTAATTTGTTCAAAGCTTTTATTGCCAACGAATTAAATCAATTAGTAGTGCGATGTTATGGCAAATTTAGGAATTCAAATGAATTGTCAAAAGATGTGGAACCATTCAAAGTTGGAGCAGACGGCAAAGGGAAACGGACTTGAAACATGCAAATTGAATCAAGTTTTTGATTAAAAATCCATCAGCCAGCCTTAAAAATTGGCCACACCAGAAATGCAGATATCTACGAGTATACATATATACATACGCTGTAGTTTGGCTGCCTAAAAATAAAATGGATGAAAAACCAATTAATTGGGTTATTCAATAAAGCCGTGTGCTGATTTAAATTGAAGCTACAAGTGCCGCCGAACTTGCTGAAATCCCCGCCACAAACCAATTTCCAAAGCAAATCGAAATGAAAGTTGCAACTACAAACAATTAGCAGACCCATTTTGTCTCTAGCGAATTGAAGGTCATTGCTACAAGATTTTCGAAAGTCGTTGACTTTGTTTGGCGGCAATCCATCCAGCCATAAAAAAAACCCCCAAGGGCCGACCTTCCACGCCCAACGCCAACGCTTTCTGCTCGATATTTTTGGCCGTTAGCTAGGGTTACATCTGCTGCAGTATCACTAAGGTCTTAAACCAAGTGACTAACTAACCAATGAATGAAACTGTATAAACGGTCCATTAAAAGTGGCCAGACAGTCTACAAGCCTCGCTTGCGTTGACAGTGTTTTAATTAATTAACATCGCCGAATGTACATATCAGATGAGTGAATGTAGAGCAACGGATTGGCAATAAAAATTCAAATACTAATCGCCGACCTGCCCAAAATGCAGTGAGAGAAAAAAATAACAAAAAAATGGAGGAAAACTTGAATTAAACATTTAAATAGAATAAAATTTTGATGAATTTCAGTATTGACTAAACTAACACCATGTATACTAATAAAACAAATATTGACAGAAACTTTATAAACATTTTCCTCTGTGCAGATGCGGCTAGGGTCGTTAAGTAAATGTCCAAAGACATGCCCAAACTAGGGCTAAAACGCAGCGCCCAAACGACCTTCGGCTGGACTGGACGGGACCAGTCTTGAACGGACTGGACGAGTTGCCGCCACCGAATGTGGGTCAATTAATGTGGAGCAGGTGAGCGTGAGGAATTGGCCAAGGAGTCGCTGCCCTACATCGTGTCCCCTTTTTTTTATGTACATTTTCCGCTGGTACTTCTTGTCTCCGCTTAATGCGCGCGAAGATGGATTGATGCCCTAATGGATGGATGGGGTCCAGGAGAAGGAGCAATGCCAGAACATCGAGGGGGCAGAATGGTTAAGTACAGCGGAAGCGGCTTAAGGCAACCGGCAGCAGAGGCGCAAGGAAACGCCATCGAATCGTAACAACTTTTGCTTTCATTTAAAGCCGCCCAAGCGGCAGGCACCGGACAATTGTGTTGGCCAAGAAAATCAAAAAAAAAAAAAAAAAAAAGGAATAGGAGGGGAAAAAATGCCAAATTGCCGAACAGCCGGTTTGGGGCATAAAAGCAGAAAGTAACACCAAAAAGGCCAGCAAAAAGCAGATAATGCTGTTCCTGCTGATGCTTCTCCCGTCATGCGACAACGTCCCTCCATCACATTCACTTTCCACCCGAGACCCGCCCTCAGATCCATTCCCAGTCGGAATCGCAGACGCAGTCTGGTTGCCAACCCAGCAATCCATGTACTTATAAAAGGCCAACACAAATCTTATAAGGGAAACAGCATGCGCTCCGAGTCAAGCTCCTCTTGTTGCTGTCGACGATTTTGTTGCCGGTCGCTGATTTCTGCTGGCCACTTTAGTGATGGCAGGCTGACACCTTTAATATGGCCCAAATAAAAGTGGCAAATTGCTAATGGATATAATGAAAATTTATAAGTTATAGTTATGGCAAAGTCGAGGTCTGGTTGACTTGATTTTTTATATTTTTTGTATCTATAAAAAACACTTTTCCTAAAGTCAGATAGAATTATCTATTGATTTCCATAATTACCTTCAAAAGACTTCAACAAATTCGAAGTTTAAGGAAATTTATAATATTAACATTTTTTTAGCTCAGTACATAATAAAATTATAATCTTAAAATGATTTATTTAAAAATGATATTTGATTAAAAATAATGCTAGAAAGCCCCAAAGCAGAAGAATATCCCCTTGGATAATCGTTAATTTCTCCTTCGTGAGTCACGTCATCGCTGGCTCATCGCAAGTTTTCTTATCAAAACTTAATACAAACTTGCCCGCTCCGCTGTCGATAAGCTGTCGTACTTTCGGACAGTCTGCCAATGTTGGTGGCAAGGTCGTTCGTCTGCTACAAAGTTTAGGTTGCCTGCCTCTTCTTTTTGGCTTTCGGCTGTTGCCTTTTCCATTTTTGGGCGCGCTTGGTGATTTTGTAATAAATGAATGCGTTGACCTAGCATGTGAGGTTCTTAATCGATTTTGCCGATTCTGCGAACAATTTATTATAAAGTCTCGCATATGATTTGGGCAAAGGACTAGGCGCAACATTAATAAATTATCCTGCCATAAAGCCAGGCGCTTTAAAACAATTTGCCACCTCATGAAACGCATCTTTTCTTTTTGACTGACAGGAAATATATTGACCATATATTCCGCTAACTAAATAATTTGCGTAGGTGCTAAACAAAAATTAACCCCTTCCACCGAGCTTCGAATTGATTAACCGGCTGACCACAACTTGGGCAAAAAGGAGCATAAAGTTTATGGCCAACAAAAAACTATCTCACAAACACATACTAAAAGCATGAAGCGACGGCAGAGTCTTCAGCGGAGTCTTGGGTCGCGTACATGTGTGGGTTTCTTTGTATCGGTGAGGGGCAGCTCATGTTCAATGCTGCAAATTATACGCGTTTTCGGCGACTGCGACTGCGAGTGCCCGGCCCAAAATGATTGGCGTGCCAAAATGCTATAAATGCGCCGCCAGGCCAATTCGGTCACATTCATTCTCGTTGCGAGTTCACAGTGACAACAAGTCAGCCCAACCCAATCCAGCCCAAAAATGAACAAATTCGTAAGTTAAGAAGGATTTTCGAAGTGTGAGGAGCCCTTCTAACTATCAGTATCCTTTTGGCCCACAGTTCGTCCTTGCCGTTGCCGCCCTGGCCATTTCTTGCGTTCAGGCCGATTCCTTTGATGCGAGAGCCGAGACTCGCGAATACAAGAGCGATCTGAAGGAGGATGGCAGCTATGCCTACCAGTATCAGACATCCAATGGAATCGCAGGACAGGAATCGGGCGTGGGTGCATACTATGCCAGTGGCTCGAATGCCTACTACGCCCCCGATGGCCAGCTGATCCAGTTGACCTACACCGCTGATGCCAATGGATACCACCCAGCCGGTGCCCATCTGCCCACTCCTCCACCAATCCCAGCGGCCATTCTCAAGTCCCTGGAGTACATCCGCACCCATCCTCATCAGGAGTCCCGCCAGGGTCAAGGACGATTCTAGACCACGTTTGGCTTGCCAATCACCACATGTTGAGCGTTATTCGAGCTAGTCTTAAGTCATTTCAAAATAAACATCGTTTGATATAACAAACATTTCCATAAACAAGTTGAGACTGTTGTTTAATTGAGATACACATAGCATTTGGGGGGCATTGCGAAAGATTCGCTAATTGGCAGATTCGCAAAATATTTGCAAACTTTTTCAAGACAAGCAAAGTTTCTCTAAACTGGAACTTAAATATGCGTTTATATATATATACCTTTATCTTGTGTGTGACTTTTTATTTAACTCTTTTTCTACAAATCTCGCTAATTGTAATAACTTATTACCACTGGTTGCCAATTACACTATTTCATTTCATACTTATATTTTTGCTTTTTTGGATTTATCCTTATATATGTTATTTGTTATATGTATATATAATATATATATTTTAAATATTTAATGCTAACCACAGGATAATAAAATAGTTAACATTCTTTTTTAAAATCTAACATGTATTTAAAAATTTGAATAACTTCATACGGCAAGATGTTTGGCGGCAACCAGGGCTACATGTAACCCAAGCAGTGCAAACTGGCGTTCACAGCGAAACGCACTCATGTATCTTATCGATATCTATCTAATCGGTACTCATTGTGGCGCGAGCTTTTAAATATTTTTGTGGACTAAATATTTAAAGCACTGTTAAAACAAGGTATTACTGTCACTAATATAATAATCTTATTATTTTATAGTTCAAAAATTTTAAATATATTTCCTCTTTATCGTTCGTTCGTAATTATTAAAAAATATTCTTTTACAATGTTAAAATTATAAACTTTAATATGCTGCGTTAGCAGAGTTTCCTAAGATCGCATCCGTCCACAGCAGTACTCTGTTATTCGGAACTGTTTTCTGAACTGGTTCAGCTGCCTTTGTCAGTGCTGGCATTTTTCTCTACAAATCAGTTACTTTTCAAAAACATGTTAATATATCATTTGTGACACAATGTGATTCGTAGAAACATTTAAATAAATTTCAGTTGTTCATTCAAAATATAAAGTAGATATACTGTAAATTCAGTTTAAAAACAAACAGCTTCCCAATTCGTGCCCACGCAAATATATTCATACGTACAAAAGGTACCACTGTCTTTCAGCATTGTAGCTGACCTGTTCAGCTTTTGAAGTTGACGCATCACTGACGCTCACACAGAGGCGCGCAACCGGGCGATCGGTCGAGATTCAAACCGCGCAAGCTCGCCGTTATTTCAGTCACTCGCGATCACTCGAACGAATCGGTTATCCGGCAGCAGGCAAAAGGTGTTGTGAGGTGTTTTGTGGTGTTTTTAGTTGTTTTGAGTCGAGAACTCCGCTGGCAGAGGCAAATGCAAAAAAAAGTGCATGTGCAGCGGTCAGTATTCATTATTTTTATTTTTTGCTGCCATAAGCCAGCTTGTTTGGCTCTTGTTTTGTTTTGGTTTTGATTTTGATTTTGAATTTGAATTTGATTTTGAGTCTGCGCGACGGCGAGTTCTGTGCGCGTTGCATTTTCAATAAACGCGTTTGCTTTTGGCTTTTGGCACGCTGCGTGGGCGCCAATTCGTGTGGCTGTGTCTCGTGTGTGCATTAGCTAATGTGTTTGTATTGCTAATTAAAACGGCAGCAAAAGTAACCGCAAAGTGGCAGCAACAAGCAGCAAGCAATAAGCAACAAGAACCCCCGACAAAAGCGAAACAAAGTGCATTCGATAAGTACGATAACCGAAATCCATTCCCGATCCAAACCCGATCTGAGCACTAAATTGGATCGACAGACAAGCAGCAGCAGGTGTTTTCCCCATTGCATTTCCCATGGTGAGTTTTCCACCCGATCGCTATCTAAACGTTGACCAGCGGCCCATATTGAGCACTTTTGTTTGCCCATTAGTCGCGGTCAGCTGTGATAATATTTATTACCAATCGATCCGAAGACTTCCTTCCATGCAGCGTAGAACGCAACGAACGCCACAAAACTAGATCAATTACTCGGAACCATAACGCTGATAAGACTTGGCGCCCTCTCTGAAATATCGATAATGCATTCATTTACTGATCCCTTAACAACATTTTTCTACGCATAAACAAAAGTTCTGAAAGATCTGATCTGATCTTATTTTGTTATACTCCAGCCTTAATATACTAATTTCGTTTTCTTAATCATTTAAAAAATGTATTTAAAATATTTATTGCAAAGTAGAAAATGGCAAAACTTGTTCCATTTACGACTTTCTGTTACCTTTAGCGAAGCCAGTCTATAAGTACAAATACCCCACTTGTATGTCGAAAATCGGTGGTAATCGCAAGACAAATAAACAATTAATTAACGCGAGCATAATGCGGCAATAACGATCGCCTCGCAACGCCGATTACGTTGCTCTTTAGATCTGAAAAGCTTTAGCTCTTAAATGTGTTCGAATCAGACGACCGTACCATTTCGTAGCTCGGGGGAATTAGAAGTTATGTTCTGATCTTTGCCGATACGAATCGGATTCGCATTTTTTATGGGAGCCCAGGGCGTCGAAAAGGAACAAGAACAAGTGGGGCGGCTACCTGCCTTTCGGATTCCGAGAAGTGTTTTCGGTCATGATATGCCCAATCTGAATCTGAACGGGGTTCCACCCCTCGAGGCCAAAGAAATCTCCGCCAACTCTTCAAAGCGAGGCGGCTTAATTCAAATTGATTTCATTTTTCGATTCGTTCTCTCTCTCGGCTTCGTTGTTTTTTGGCAAACAATTTGAAGTGTCAATTTGTGTTTATAAAACTAAAATTATTTATCAAGCCCAGGCCATCGCATGTGGGCAGCGTAAACAGTTAAAAGAAGAAAAAACCAAGCACGCATTTATATTACGTTGGTACACAGGAAAAAAACTTGACGATTTTACACGTTTTTAATTAAATTTGATTTCTTATGATATCCAAAATTCGTTTTAAAAGCAAAGTGCTTCAAAATGACTTGAATAATTTATTGAAAAGAAGTCGATATCGTATCTGAAGTGGTTTCATTATTTTTCCGTGCACTTGGATCAATGTATATATATAGTAGATATATATCGCGAATAGCACTGTTGGCTGACTGCAAAGTCAATTGCCAAATATGGTGGACTTGTTTGTGTGTGGTTTAATGTCACACTCAAACACACACACACACACACACTGGCTGAAAGATAAGTGTAACTCTCTGCCTGTCAATAGCTGAGCTTTAAAAAAGGAAATTCAACTACTTGTTTCACCAAAAGTCGCTGAAATAGTCACCCAACATTGGCGCTTCGCTAGCTGCCTTTCCTTTGTCTCTTTCCAATAAATATTGAAATTAGCATGCGTCCAACTAAATTTATTCTCTAATTGTTATCTAAGCTGCTGATCCCCAAAAAGGGCATCCAGATCCAACCCGATCCGCGGATGAGTGTGCCGAACCACCCAAAACAGCTTACAAAAGAGCTCAGCTGGCCTTTAAGTGGAAATTCTCTGTGACTAATTGGCGGGGAGCTTGACTAATTGCATCCAACCAGCTCGTTCGCAAGTGAGGGATGGGCTTTAAGGCAGTTAATCAATAATTAAATCGATTCCAATGATCTGCCATAGAATTTATTTGCGCAGGGAAAACTGCTTCTGATTTTATACATTATATTAGTTATAATCTTGTTCCGATCTATTATGAATTCACTTTGATCTCAGCTGAATATGTTTATTTGTAATCTATTTCCGATTTAATGCGAATTCTGATTTCCACAATTCGATAAGGTTTTTTAGGTTTGCGATTAGTATTTCAAATATTCATAACCCAAATATTCGGCATATTATTGCCAGTGGCTAATCTTGATAAATTTGATCACTTCATTATATTTTTTTTATCTCTTTTCATCTTCTTTCTACTTATGAATATTTTTATTTCTTAGAACTTTCCTCACCATGCTAAACATGACCTTAAAAAACTCTTTAACACTTTTTTAGACAAGTTTTAGAGTCAATATAAATTTTAAAAAGCAAATTGTTTACGGAAAGTGTATTGTACATTTTTTCTTAACTACTCTTTTTTACCTTTTTTAATTCCTAATGATAATAAATTCCGTGGGCTTCCACGGCGAAGGGCAAGTAGCACACTAAACCACTTCCACCTTATGCAACATCGTTTCGTTCTTTTGCGTCAACGAGCCAAATGGAGAATACTAATAAAAATCGCGGCTCCCTCGCGTAATACGCTGGCTGGCCAACCTACGATCAGCCAACGACGTTCTTTGCATTGACGGCAGCTGCTGCCGCTTAGAAACTAACCAAACAGCAACAACAACAAAATATAAATAAAAATAATACAAAAAAAAATATATAAAAACAAAAACAACTGCGAGTGCAGCCAACACCGATGCAGTGGCAGCCGCTTATTTAATATGCAAATGAGCGCATAAAGGCAATTCATTGCAGGGAGAGCGAAGCCAAGATATTTGCTAAACAATAAGGTAAAATGGCTGCGAAATGCGAGAATAATTGTTATTCAGCAGATGACGGGAGGATGCGCCGTTGCCACTTGGCAACCACTTTTTTTTTGCCATGTTCCATTCATATTCATTATAATTTTTAAGCCAAGCCAACTGCCCACGCAAGCCAATGATTTGATGTGGCAATAAGCGATAATTATGCGAGCACAACGCGGCGTATGAGTAATTTGCGTTTGCAATTAGAAACAGGCGCCGACGTCGACGTGCTGAAATGTTCAAATTGCAAGTATTAATCTCAAAGAATACAGCATACGGCATACAGATCAGAGAATACAAAAAGCTGCAGCCACGAAAAGCAACTAACAAAACCACAAAAAGTAATAACAAATGCGGCCAGCAGCCAAGAACAAAACTCAACAGAAAAAAAAAAAAAAAGAAAAGAATCCAAGCAACTTGACAAATGCTGTGGGTGTTTCGTGTTGTTGTGAGCCCACGTTTAAAATTAATAATAAAGTACACACACTCAGTACACACACACACACAGAGCGAAAGAGTTGAATATTGAAAAAAAACGGACCTATAAGAATTTTGAGTGAAGCTGCTGGTTCTTTTATTTCGTGTGCCTGGCATACAAAAGCAGCCACAATAAACTTAAATATGTAATAACTTTAAAGCAGTAGCACACGAAAATAAAAGGCGAGGGCGGGGGTGCTGCTCCTCCGGTTAATGTGCTCATCAAATAGTCATAAATCAGCTCATTTAAAGTGCGAGAAGAACTGAAAGTCATTTCCGAATGTTGTAAGGTGTGTGAATGTTGTAAATAATAATTTTTAGGATTCTTAATACAGGAAGCGGAGATTTAATTGGGTTTTTGTGGGGGACTCCAAACCTAAGATACCCCACATAAATTCAGTTTTCCCCTTTGTTAGCTGATAAATGTGAATAAAAAAAAGAAATCGCAACAAAGCCAAAATTCGCCCTGCTCAGCTGCGTTCCCTATTTGGAAGTTCTCGCCTGTCCGTCCATTCAAAAGCAGCAAATAAGAAATCAAAGTCAGTGTGGCGTATGCGTAATACGAAAGGCAAAAGCCCAAAGACTGACTACTGACCCATCCAAATGGCAACCCACACACATAGACACTCTCTCGTAAACTACACGAACAAAGGCGGATAGGAAATAACTAACCAGATCCAAGTTGGCCACCAGAAAATAACAAAAAAACAATACTGATTACAAGCTACCCATCTCTATGCAAGCTGTTGTTGTTATGTCCATTTAAGCCTTGCCAATTTTGGCAACTTGTCGACCACTTGGCGCTTGAACATCAGCGATCGAGAGATGAGAGCTGCTCGAAGCTCCCCGAGCTCTGAGCTTCCAGCTCTCGACCGCCCATACAATTTGTTTCCCATATTAATTTATCATTTATAAACGATTATTGTTATATAAATTAAATTGCGCGCCCAAAACAAATTAAACTAATAATAGGAAGCGTTTTTCACGCTTTGAGCCGCTTAAATGCCATTGGAGGAATCGCCCATCACCGGGCACTGTGTAATTATTGACTTAGTCTTTGACTTTGTTGCTGAGCCGACAAACTCAGATAATTCGCAGAACCGATATGGAAAGATATATATACTCGTATATATGTATAGAGAGTTTGGCACTTCCGCCCCCCGATTAGCTGGCCCAGTTTGCTTTTTGGGGTACGGCCACTACTTTCTAGCGAACCAACCAACCATCCATTAGCCGACTTTGCCAATACGAGTATATCTGAAAACAATTTCCAGGGCGGCTTAGGCCAAATTTGGCATCGACGGCGATGGAGTCGATTACCTTGGCCCGACTTGTCAACAGGTGAAATTTTTTATATACGCCCGCCTAATTTGTTTTGCTTCTGCCACTTTTTTTTTTGCATTCTGCATAATTTGTCCATAATCACCGATCTCGCGAAATTTGCATTCTTTGCAAAGACTGAAGACAGCAAATTCATAAAGGCCGAGAGACAAATAATGCGTCAATAAAATGTCAAGCGAGCATCGAAGGTTGTGCAAACAATTGACGAACGGCGAAAAAAATCATTATTTAATGTTATTACCCTCCCGCACAGGTAAATAGCATAACAAAAAACGACATTAGTGTAAAGAACATTGTGAATCACGCAGGGTCAGAAAGACTGTGTCACGGATGCCAATGCGATCGATTAATACGAGTTGGGGGAAATATTTGGCTTTGCCTTATGGATGGCTGGATGGATGGCTAATATCAATCAAACCAAATGGAAACGTACTTATTTGTACGATCCGCGATCAGGCCTTATTTGATCGCCAATTATCGGCTAATAAAGACTCGTTTTGTGTTCTGTAAGTTGCATAATAATATTTC